AGATGGCTGCCCCCATGTGGACAAAGGATGGCCGGCAGGGGAAGGAAGTTGAGGGGGACCAGGCCTTCAGGAGAGGGCAGTTGGGAAGGACCAGGCCTTCAGGGGAGAGCAGTTAGGGGCGACTAGGCTGGCAGGGGAGGGCAGTTAAGGGCAGTCGGGCTGGCAGGGGAGTGGTTAGGAGGTGATCAGGCTGGTAGGCAGAAGTGGTTAGAGGCAATAAGGCAAGTAGGCAGGTGAATGGTTGAGAGCCAGCAGTCCTGGTGGGATCAGGCCTAAATGGGCAGTCAGACATCCCTCAAGGGGTCCCAGATTAGAGAAGGTGCAGGCTGGGCTGAGGGACACACACACACACACACCCATGCATGAATTTTGTGCACCGGGCCTCTCATCTTCTATCAAATGATATCTATGGGCCGGAAGCGGCCGGGCCCAGAGCAGCCGGGTCGGGAGCAGCCAGGCCTGGAGCAGCAGCAGCCAGACCTGAAGTAGCCAGGCCGGGAGCAGCCGGGCCCTGAGCGGCTGGGCCCGGAGCATCCGGGTCAGGAGCAGCCAGGCCGGGAGCAGCCGGTCCCTGAGCGGCTGGGCCCGGAGCCGCCGGGTCGGGAGCAGCCAGACCCGGAGCAACCGGGCCCGGAGCAGCCGGGCCCAGAGCAGCCGGGTCGGGAGCATCCAGGCCCGGAGTGGCAGCATCTAGGCCCAGAGCGGCAGCAGCTGGGCCTGGAGCAGCCGGGCTTGGAGCAGCAGCAGCCAGGCCGGGAGCGGCCGGGCCCGGAGCAGCCCGGCATGGAACAGCTGGATCAGGAGCAGCCAGGCCTGGAGCGGCAGCAACCGGGTCCCAAGCAGCAGCGGCCAGACCCAGAGCAGCTGGTTGTGGAGCGGACCGGAGCAACAGAGGCCAGGCCTGGAGCAGCCAGGCCCAGAGCAGCTCACTCCTCGCCTGCCCATGCCCCAGGGCTGCTTCTCAGACATGGCTGGAAACTTTTGGGGGAACTCTAGTGTCTGCTGAATCAAGTGATGAAGGCTTAAAAAAAATATATCTATGAAAAAAAAAAAAAGATTAATAGCAAGATTCAGAGAAGTGTGTACAACCTACTTCCATTGGTTTAAAAACAAACAAACTTGTGCATATACACATGTACGAAAAGCTTATATTCATAAAAGATCTCTGGAAAGATTATAAGAAATTCAGTATTAATTGAGAGAACCAGGTAGCTGGAGGACAGATGCCCCATTAATACCTCTTGAATGTTTGTGTAATTTGTGTTATTATCTATCTGAAAAAAATAATGACAAAATACTATTTTAATTCCTGGACTATGGCTCTTACTTTTCCCTTATTGTAACAGATCTTGCCATTGACCAGATCCACCATCATTGTCATTTCTTACTTTTTCCATTCACTCTTACCATTCTCCACCTTGCATTGTAGTTGTCTTGTTCAGTAACTAGTGAAGACAACAAAGAGGAAATCCTTAACTACCCAGGTGCGTGCTGGTACTCTGATTCTATCGTGTTTTCCCTTCCCAACCCATCAGCCTCAGTTCTCTCTTACCCCAGTTTCAGTGAGTTCCATTCCAGACATCTCAGAAGCCCTAAGTATCTCATCCCATACATAACCCTACCCAGCCTCTTCCCAAAAGCCACATTTTGACTTTTCAGCTGTTCAGAAACTTCATCATTAATTAGTTGTTTCTTTCCTCCTTCCATCTCGGTCCCTCATCCTTCATCTTCTACCTTACACCTTACCCACTCTCCTTTTCCTCCCTTTGCTCTGGAGGTTTTTTGTTTGTTTGTTTGTTTGTTTTTAATCTTTATTGTTCAGATTATTATGGTTGTTCCTCTTTTTTCCCCCCATAACTCCCCTCCACCCGATTTCCATCCCACCCCACCCCACGCTCTTACCCCCCACTGTCCTCATCCATAAGTATATGATTTTTGTCCAGTCTCTTCCCACACCCCACACTCCCTTTCCCCTGAGGATTGTCAGCCCATTCCCTTTCTATGCCCCTGATTCTATTATACTCACCAGATTATTCTGTTCATCAGATTTTTTATTCACTTGATTTATAGATTCACTTGTTGATAGATTTGTATTTGTTGTCACTTTGTTGTTCATAATTTTTATCTTTTTTCTTCTTCCCCTTCTTAAAGAATACTTTTCAGCATTTCATATAATACTGGTTTGGCTGTGATGAATTCCTTTAGCTTTTTCTTATCTGTGAAGCTCTTTATCTGACCTTCATTCTAAATGATAGCTTTGCTGGCTAGAGTAATCTTGGATGTATGTTCTTGCTATTCATTACTTTGACTATTTCTTGCCACTCCAGTCTGCCTGCATAGTTTCTGTTGAGAAAAATCATCTGACACTCGTATGGGTACTCCCTTGTAGGTAACTAACTGTTTTTCTCTTGCTGCTTTTAATATTCTCTCTTTGTCTTTTCCTCTTGGCATTTTAATTATGATGTGTTTTGGTGTGGTCCTCTTTAGATTCCTTTTGTTTGGGGTTCTTTGTGCTTCCTGGACTTGTAAGTCTGTTTCTTTCCCTAGGTGGGGGAAGTTTTCTGTCATTGTTTCTTTTTCCTTTTTTTTTTTTTTTTTTTTTTTTTTAATTAATGTATTATATGTGTACATATCTTACCATTACCCTCCCTCCCCCATGTCATTGTTTCTTCAAATAGGTTTTCAATATCTTGCTCTCTCTCCTTCTGGCACCCCTATAATTCGGATGTTGGTATGCTTGAAGTTGTTCCAAAGACTCCTTACACTATCTTCATGTTTTTGGATTCTTTTTGCTTTTTGCTTTTCCGGTTGGGTGTTTTTTGCTTCTTTGTATTTCAAATCTTTGACTTGATTCTTGCGATCCTCTAGTCTGCTGTTGGATCTTATTTTTTATTTCAGTCAGTGTATGCTTAATTTCTAGTTCATCCTTTTTCAGATCCTCGAGGGTCTCACTAAATTTATTGGCCTTTTCTAGAAAATTCTTGAAAAACCTAATACCGTGGTTTTGAACTCTATATCCAGTGGTTTGCTTTCCTCCATTTCTTTCATTTGTTACCTGTTTCTTTGTCTCTCCATTTTATCTGCTTCCCTGTGTTGATAGAATAACTTTGTGTGCTAGGTGTCCTATAGGGCCCAGTGGCTCAGCCTTCCCAGTTACCTGAGATGGGCACTCTTGGTGTACCCCTTTGTGAGCTGTGTGCACAGTCTTATTGTAGTTAAGCCTTGATTGTTGTTGGTATCACTGGGAGGAATTGACCTCCAGGCCAATTAGCTGTGAGGATTAGCTATGTCTGATGGCAGAACATATGTTTTGGAGACACCCTTATGAGACAAGACTTGCTTCAATGGGGTTTTGGTGCCCACTGAGTCTGCCCTCTGAGTATGTCCCTTATGGATCTGAGGAGTGGTAATCTGGATGGTCCTACTCTAACTCATGGGTACACTGGCTCTTGGATCTCTAAGGAGGTGTTAATTTAGCCTTTGCCTGAGGCCACCCACCAGGAACTACAGAGAAATCTGCAGATTCCTCTTCTTTGTTTGGGTTTTGGAGGTGCCCAAATGAGCCCCATCTGTGAAGCAATGCAAGCTGCTGTGGGGCCTTGGGTCTTCTTTTGGATGTTCCGGGTCTCACTGACTCAGCTGCAGTTTGTTAAATAAGTTTAGATTTCAAAGGACCAAGCCATTCATATATGCAAAAGCCTCTGCACACAGCTTGGATGGGGTTGAGTCTCAGGTTGGAACAAACAGCAATGGCTTCCTGTCAGCCCTGCCCTAAGATGCCCTGGTTCTCAGTGTCCCACAGTAATCGCTGCAAGAACCTCCAAGAGAAAGCCAACCTTGAGTTCTGCCCGCTGCCAGACAGTCCAGTTATTCCCCGTATGAGTCTGGGTCCCCAGAGTCTCGCCAAGAAAGGGAGCTTGTGTCTTCCTATAGATTGAAAAAGCCAGGTGCGTACTCAGTAGTCAGCCCTCTCCAGGTGCGCACCTCTGTACCTCTGCATTTTACTTCCACAGCTCCTCTGAGTCTCAGTGTGCTTTTCTCTTCCCTTCTAGTTGTAGAATTTCCACTTAGCCTTACTGTGGTTCTGGGTAATGTCCATTTTGTCTTTTAGTTGTAGTTTGTTTGTTTATTTAATATATTTTATTCATCTTTTACAGAGAGGAAAGGAGAGGGATAGAGAGTCAGAAACACCCATGAGAGAGAAACATCAATCAGCTGCCTCCTGCACACCCCCATTGGGGATGTGCCCGCAACCAAGGTACATGCCCTTGACCAGAATTGAACCCGGACCCTTGCTCTGCAGGCCGATGCTCTATCTATTGAGCCAAACTGGTTTCGGCTAGTTGTAGTTTTGAAGTGGTTGTGCAAGACAGCAGGTTCAGGTGTTTACCTATGTCGCCATCTTGGTTTCTCCCCTGCTCTGGAGGTTTTATCCATATTTCCCATTCTCCTTACTTTTTATCCTGTCCCATCTTATATTTTTGACCCAGGCAGTATATAATAAGAGCCACCACCAGAAGCTTAGAACTGGGACAATTCTCGGAGGAAGACAGATGACAAGATCTTTATTTCATTTCTGCAGCAATAGGGACAGGTGATTTGGACATCTCAGATTGGAACTCTGAATGGATTGTCCTATAAAGATGTTATTATAAGTGAGGGTTAGGAATCATATTTCATGTCCACAAGCATCATAAACAAGAGTGTTCTAAGGTTTACCCAAAAGTAATTTTTATCAATCTGTGGAATAGGCCTACCAGTCAGTGTCTTCCTACTTTTTATCAATATGGTGAATGGTGATTTGTCTGTAAGTGGCCTGTAGTAGCTTCTATGTCATGGTTGCTATAGTTGTAGCACGGGGGAATAACCACACCAAGTGGATCTCATCATAATTTGGCTAATAATAGTTTTACAGTTAGTGCTTTCTCTTTGTAAACTTGTATTGCTTTTAACCTGTATTGATTTTTCCCCACCTTTAATATTTTCTAATCTCCTAACAGAGGCGGACATCCAACCATGGTCATGCCAGGAAAAGAGCCAAGGTGAGCACCTTTTCTCAATAGTTTCTTTCCTGGTGATATTAGTAGTATATTTTACAAGTGGACTTATCACTAATATCTAACTTATTTGCATTATACATAGGCAAAGTTTTCTGCCTAATTGTGAATATACATACGCATGTACACATACAGAAACATGCATGCACATATATCCTATTGTAATAGTTTTCTCCATTATCTCTGATTCAGCCACAGGTACTTCTGATAACTGTGGGATACCCAGCCAGAACCTCTCAAAAGCCTTAGCAAATTTGTCCTAGTTCTACTGGAATGCTAGTTTCTCTGCTCAGCTCTGGCTTCTCTGAGAATAACTGCTATATGAGTCTTACTTTTTATTAGTGTGTGCTAGCATATTAATTTTAGTTGGAAAACTGTAAAATGTTAAACTTTCTTTGCAGTGGAAGAATTATCACCTAAAGTAATAATTAAGGGCATCTACCCTTTCCCCCAGAAAAATAATGGCAGAATTTGAGAGTGGCCTAGCTATTTTGTTGCTTGGGTTTAAAGAAGGCTACTATGTATGATAAATTGACTTTATGACTTGCTTTATATGGCCTAATCCACAGTGATATTCATATATATATATATATATATATATATTATTGATTTTTTTACAGAGAGGAAGAGAGAGGGATAGAAAGCTAGAAACATCAATGAGAGAGAAACATCAACAAGCTGCCTCCTGCACACCCCCATCGGGGACGTGCCCACAACCAATGTACATGCCCTTGACCGGAATCTAACCCGGTAGGTACCTTTCAGTCCGCAGATCAATGCTCTATCCACTGAGCCAAACCGGTTTCAGCAGTATAATGATATTCTTGACATTAAAGTTCAAACAAAGATTATTCACTGCTATATCACTTCCTGAATTTTTTTCTTTTTTAAAAAAATGTTTTTATTAATTTCAGAGAGGGAGGGAGAGATAGAGAGAAAGATAAAAACATTAAGAGAGAAACATTGATCGGCTACCTCCCACACAACCCCCACTGGGAATCGAGCCCACAACTCAAATATGTGCCCTGACCGGAATCAAACCCAGACCTTTCAGTCCGCAGGCCAACACTTTTTTTTTTTTTTTCATTACTATGACTTATTATTATTTTTTTTAATATATTTTATTGCTTTTTTACAGAGAGGAAGGGAGAGAGATAGAGAGCTAGAAACGTCAATGAGAGAGAAACACCGACCAGCTGCCTCTTGCACACCCCCCACTGGGGATGTGCCCGCAACCCAGGTACATGCCCTTGACCGGAATCGAACCCGGGACCTTTCAGTCCGCAGACTGACGCTCTACCACTGAGCCAAACCGGTTTCGGCCGCAAGCCAACACTTTATCCACTGAGCCAAACCAGCTAGGGCCTTCCTGAACTTTTTTTTTGTTTTAATATATATTAATTGATTTTAGAGAGGAAGGTAGAAAAATCAATGATGAGAGAGAATCGCTGATTGGCTATCTTCTGCATGCCCCACACCGGGGATTGAGCCCACAACCTGAGTATGTGCCCCTGACTGGAATTGAACCTGGGACCCTCTAGTCTGCAGGCCAACACTATCCACTGAGCCAAACTACTATGGCCTTTCTGAACTTTTTGAGTTAAGATAGTTATTATCTTCATTTTACAGCTAAGGAGACTTGGGCTTATAAAGATTGAGGGAGTTTGACAAAGGACATTTATTAGTAAGTGGCCAAACTAGGCTTGAAGTCAGTTTTTCAGACTTACAAGTTTTTTATTTGTTGGTTTATTTTGTTTTTGTTAATTCTCACCTGAGGATATTTTTTCATTGAGGTTTTTTGTTTTGTTTTGTTTGTTTTTTTGTTTTGTTTTTTAGAGAGAGAAAGTGGAAAGGAAGAAAGAGAGAGAAACAGAGAGAGATGTGAGAGAGACACATTGATTGATTGCCTCCTATCGACGACCCCACCAGAAGGGATATCCAACTTGCAACCCAAGTATATGTCCTTGACCAGGAATCAAATCTGCGACCCTTCAGTGCTTGAGCTGATGCTAAAACTTAGCCACATGGGTCAGAGCAGACTTGCAAGTATTTTTCACTATATTCTACATAGAATACATATACCAAGTTTTATACTTTTGTTTTCATAGTAAACCTTGATTTTAATGTAAGAACTCAGTATATGTTTATAGGTAAATTTCTTATAAGTCACTCTATTTTTTTTTTTTTTTCTTTGAAGATCTCTAGGAGAGCAGTGATTTGCAAAATGAATTTCAGACCTTTTGGAGATTCTCCCACCAGTAGAAATAAACCAAATGGATTCATTTTTTTATCACATTAATTGTTAGAATGGTTTTCTATCTTTCTCTTTTATTCTTTCCTTAAACACTTCTTTCCATCCTTTCTACCTAAGGTTAAGAGTCATTTACCATATACTGTCTACTGTTTAGTAGGCATTATTTATGATATGTATGTTTATATACCTTGTGTCGTCTAATTCTCACAACAGCTCTTTAAGTATTTTTTTAATTAAATTATTATCTGTGTACATATTTTAACATTGCCCCTCCCCCATATCTTTAAGTATTTTTATCACAGTTTTATTGAAAAACAGAGACCCAGAGAGGTTAAGTAATTTGCTCAAGGTCTCGTAATCCAAAAGCAAAAAAATGGAGTTAAAGCCAGGGCTTTTGGTTCTTAAATCTGGGGTCTTTCCACTGAAGTCTACTGTTGTGTATTCTCAGTAAACTTCTGAACCTGAAATTGGAGCAATGAGCTAGAAAGAGGGAGGGGTGGGGGAAGAGAATGGAGGGCTAAGTGAAGTGGTTTTCCTATCTGTCTAAAGTAGCCATTTTGAGAGATCCAAGATAGCAGTGTAGGTAAACATCTCATCTAAACAACAATTTCAAAACTACAACTAAAAGACAACACGTCTATCACCCAGAACTATGGGAAAGCTGGCTGAGTGGAAGTTCTACAACTAGACAAAAAAAGAAAAGAGCATTGAGGGTACAAGTGCTGAACAAACACAGGTACGGGGGCATGTGTGAGATACAGGCTGGCGACGGATCCTGGCTAGTGAAGGGCGTTGCTTTCTTCAACCTGAAGAGGGACAAGCTCCCGATCTCTCTGAAATTCAGTTTCTGGGGAAAAGCTGGATTGTCTGCCATCGGGCCAGAAAGTGAGGGTGGCTTGCTTACAGAGCTGCACGCAAGAATAATTGTTTGCTGTGCTGGGCACGAGGTGCGGGGATGCGGTTGAAGAGGCAGAGACAACTTACTGGCAGCCATCACTGTTTGCCACGCCCTGGCCTAGTGATGTCCTGAGACTGCACCCCGCACAATCTACAAACACACCCAAGCTCCAAGCAGCGGCATTTACATATGAATGGCCTTCTCTATTGCAGTTTACCCTAGCAAACTTGCAACCTAGTGCAGACAGCTCTAAAGCCCCAAGCTCTAAGCAGGGAGGAGAGGACTGTGGTTCTCGCTGTAGCTCCTACAGGGTAGCCTCAGGAAGTAGCTGAACTGCACCCATTTGGAGATCCAGAAGCCAGTGTACCTAGTGGTCAGTGTGAGACACCAGATTTCAACTCCTCACATCCATAAGTGACACATTAGGGAGGTGGGCTCAGTGAGCAAGGCCTGCACCATAAGTGTGTCTGCAGCACAGCAGTTCTTCCATTATAGACACAGCGGGTCCTCACAGCCAATTGGCCTGAAGGTCAATTCCTCCCAGTGTACCAACAGCAATCACGGCTTAACTACACCAAGACTTTGCACTCAGCCCACAAAGGGGTATACCAAGAGCGACCAACTTGGGTGATTGGGGAAGCTAAGCTACTGGCCACAAAGCCACTCCATCAACACAGGGAGGCAGCCAAAATGCGGAGACACAGAAGCATGTCACAAATGGGAGAGATGGAGGAAAGTAAACTACTGGATGACACAGAGTTCAGAACCACATTTATAAGGTTACTCAAGAATCTTCTAAAAACTGCTGAGAAACTTGAAGAGAACTTCAAGGACCTTAATGAGAATACAAAAAAAAAAAAAAAAAAAAGGAAAAGGACCAGTCAGAAATTAAGCATACAATCTCTGAAATAAAGAATATACAGAAACTCAACTGTAGATCAATGTACCCCAAGAGTCAAACCAAATATCTGGAATATGAGGAAGCAAAAAACACCCAACCAGAGAGGCAGGAAGGAAGGAAGGAAGGAAGGAAGGAAGGAAGGAAGGAAGGAAGGAAGGAAGGAAGGAAGGAAGGAAGGAAGGAAGGAAGGAGAATCCAAAAGTGTGAGGATAGTGTAAGGAGCCTCTGGGACAGCTTTAAGCGTACCAACATCCGGATTTTTGGGGTGCCAGAAGAAGAGAGAGAGCAGGATACTGAAGGCCTGTTGAAATAAATAATGACAGAAAACTTTTCCTACCTGGTGAAAGAAATAGACTTTCAAGTCCAGGAAGCTCACAGAACCCCAAACAAGAGGAATCCAAAGAGGACCACACCAAGACACATCATAATTAAAATGCCAAGGGCAAAAGACAAAGAGAGAATCTTTTACAAGCAGCAAGAGAAAAACAGTTAGTTAACCTACAAGGGAGTACCCATACGACTGTCAGCTGATTTCTCAACAGAAACTATGTAGGCCAGATGGGAGTGGCAAGAAATATTCCAAGTGATGAACAGCAAGAACCTACAACCAAAATTACTCTACCCAGCAAAGCTATCATTCAGAATTGAAGGTCAGATAAAGAGCTTCACTGACAAGATGCCGAAACCGGTTTGGCTCAGTGATAAAGCATCAGTCTGCGGACTGAAGGGTCCCAGGTTCGATTCCAGTCAAGGGCATGTACCTGAGTTGTGGGCACATCCCCAGTAGGGGGTGTGCAAGAGGCAGCTGGTCGATGTTTCTCTCTCATCGACGTTTCTAGCTCTCTATATCTCTCCCTTCCTCTCTGTAAAAAATCAATAAAATATATTTTTTTTAAAAAAAGAGCTTCACTGACAAGAAAAAGCTAAAGGAGTTCATCACCACCAAACCAGGATTACATGAAATGCTGAAGAGTATTCTTTAAGAAGAGGAAGAAGAAGAAAAAGGTAAAGGTAAAAACTATGAACAACAAAAAGACATCAAATACATACCTACAGCAAGTGAATCTAAAAATCAAGTGAATAAAAAAATCTGAAGAACAGAATGGACTGGTGAATATAATAGAATCAGGGACATAGAAAGGGAGTGGACTAACAATTCTCAGGGGAAAGGAGATCATAGGGGTGTGAGAAGAGATTGGACAAAAATCTTACACCTATGGAAGACAGCGGCGGGGGGTAAGGGCATGGGGTAGGGGAGGGAATCAGGTGGGGGGAGTTATGAGCGGGGAAGGGGAGAGGAACACCTGTAATAATCTGAACAATAAAGATTTTTTAAGTTGCCATTTTGTTTTTATATGTCTACTGTTATAAGCAGGAGAATTATCTTTCTTTTAGGGTGGTAGAATTATTTATCAAGTAAATCAGGAACTGGCAAATAGGATCTGTTTTTTAAAAAACCTGATTTAATAGAAGCAGCAACAGAGCCAAAGAGGATGTTCATCATTCAGCCAAAAGCTTTCTGAATGTCTGCCAAGGGAATATACTATATATTATTTGTTTTTTTCTCAGTCTAATTCCAAGCTCAAGTTGGTACGCAGCCTGGCAGTGTGTGAAGAGTCTTCTGCCCCATTTGGTGACGGGCCACTAGAAACCCAGGTAGGTCCTTTATAATAAAGAGTAAGTGTAGCTTTTGAGTTTGGCAGTTGTTTGGTAAACTAGTATAGCAACCACAATATCAACATTAGGTTTGGAAATCAGGAGCTTCTATACAAGCCATTTATAGTAAAGCATGGCATAGATGAGATCATGAAGTATAGATCTTCACACCCGGACCACCCACAATGATGCAAATAAGCAGATCCCACAACTGGATCTTATTTTCCCACCCACACCCTTTCCCTGTGGTGGTTAGAACCATTTCCACTTAATTCTTATACCAAAATAGCCAGCGTGACTTGAGCTGCCTATATAATTCAAGGTGTGATTGTAGAAAAGGCTTGGCCTTTATTCTTTTTTTTAAAACAAAAGCTAAAACAATTTAATTAAAAAATACCCTCTTCTATAAGAGAATGCTTCCTCCCCGAGATTTATCTTCTCTGATATTTAAGGGGGAAATTAGAGCCAGTTTCCCCTTTGATTATATTTCTCTTTACTCTTATCCAAGGATATAATTCAGTTGCACATCAGCTGCCCCTCTGACAAAGAGGAAGAAAAATCCACAAAGGATGTCTCTGAAAAGGAAGACAAGGACAAAAACAAAGAAAAGGTTCCAAGGAAGATGCTGTCTAGAGGTGAGGACTTTTTCTCTTTCTTAATCTGTTCTTGGGCCTGGCTCTTCAGTGCCCTTTACTTCCTTGAAGTCTGGCCCAACAGTTCATTGTGTCCTATGGACTTCATGGTTGCTTGAGAAGGTACCTAACAAGGTAACTTTCTTTGCTGCTTTATCCAACCTTGTCTTAGCGGTTCATGTCATTACCACAGAGAGCTACTTCATTAGCATCAGTGCTACCCATAGGAAGACATTGTAGTCAGTTCTGATTTTATTTTTGCTCTGGAATAAACAGTGACATGGATCATCACTGGTTGCAGCTCCTCCAGATACCTTTCATATTTTGGAATGATTGAAGTAATTATTTTTAGCAGTGCAGATTTGCATATTATTTTATTATTAAGTTCTCTTTGGCTTTAAACTCTTGGGCTAATAGCAAAAAGACATGGTCTATAAAATGATAGTTGAGAGGAAAAAAGCAACCGTGGAATTAAATTGTTATAAACAAAAAAATCATATAAATAATCAATATTTGAGCATATTTGCTGAGAATATGGAAAATTCAGTCTTGACTGCTCTTACTTGGACCTTATTTTCCTTAACTAGAATAAAAACAGCTTTGTTTTGGTGAAGGCATTCAGTAAATACTGAGGGTAAGGTGGCTTTTCACTGTAATCCTGATGCAACACTATGACTCAGATTCTACCTTCTATAATTGTCATGAGGAAATGGGGAGGTGGGGGGCCGCGCACCTGGCAAATCAAAGTCATTCTGGTTTTTAAGCTAAAACATCTAAAGTTTGATTCTACTTTCCTGTTCTCGTCTCTCCTGATCAGGTTGGTTGTATTATGCTTGGGATTAGATATTATGCAAGGCAATTTCATTTATTTTAAATTTATTTTGTTGTGGTGGTTTTAGACTCCAGCCAAGAATATACGGACTCCACTGGAATAGACCTACATGAATTTCTTATAAACACACTGAAAAAGAACCCAAGGTAATAACATGATTTGATGAAAGGGGCAAAGGGGCCAGCAGCCAGAAGGATACCAAAGGCCAAGTAGCTTCAGAAATTTTTCATTAGAATCTCAGGATACCCATCCCCTTGCCACCATTTCTCTTCAGTATAGTTTTATATTCTATGAGGGATTCAGAATATCGTCATATTGAGGTTTCTCCTTTCAGAAGAGTAGATAAAAATTCTATGGAAGAAGAAAGCAGAGACAAAAAAATATGAAGGCTTGGGAGTACAATTAAAAAGCACAGAAGAAAATAATAATTGGTTGTACATAAACCATAATAGTTTTAAAAGTCTATAAAAATCATATAGAATGTTGAATAATAATTAGATGAATAAGTATAAAGTATGTATTTATATAAATATGACTGCCAACAGAATTATATTTCTGATAAGTAGCCCAAACCGGTTTGGCTCAGTGGATAGCGCGTCAGCCTGCGGACTGAAGGGTCCCAGGTTCGATTCCAGTCAAGGGAATGTACCTTGGTTGCAAGCACATCCCCAGTAGAGGGTGTTGCAGGAGGCAGCTGATCGATGTTTCCCTCTCATCGATGTTTCTAACTCTCTATCCATCTCCCTTCCTCTCTGTAAAAAATCAATAAAATAGATTTTTTTTAAAAAAAGATTTCTGATAAGTATAACAAAGCACATGTTAGCAGGATATGCAAAATGCATACTCAGTTGTTTTCCTTTTTTCTTTTTTTTTTTTTCTTTTTTTAATAATTCTTTATTGTTGAAAGTATTACATAGCTCCCCCTTTTCCCCCTATTGTCCCCCTCCAACCCGCCCGTTCCCACTCCCTTGCCCCAGACCTTCAGCACCTATTGGCTGTGTTCAGGGGTTATGCATATATGCATACATGGTCTTTGGTTGATTACCTCCCACCCACCTACCCTCCCCAGCCTTCCCTCTGAGATTCCACACTGTTAATTATTTTTATTTTTTATTGATTTTAGAGAGGAAGGGAGAGGGAAAGAGAGAGAAATATCAGTGGTGAAAGAGAACTGCCTTCTGCACACCCCCTGCTGGTGCACACCCCGAGCCCACAACCCAGGCATGTGCCCTTGGTTGGAATCGAACCTGGGACCCTTCAGTCCGCAGGCCAATGCTCTATCCACTGAGCCAAACCAGCTAGGACTATTTTTCTTTTTTAAAGTAACATAAGAAAAGTCAGTGAGGTTCAGTAGCCATTGGCATTTTGGCCCATTATTGGGGTTTGGATCTCTTTGTCCCCGTCAGCTTTTATAGTGAGCAGATTGTGGGCTGGTCCGAGTGCAGTGGTGTCTTATCGTGAGCAGATTATGTTCTTAGTCTTTGCTTTGCTTACCTATGGTAGGCTGCTTTTTATTTTGTTTTTATCTTCTAAACAGGGACAGAATGATGCTGCTAAAATTAGAACAAGAGATTCTGGAATTTATTAATGACAACAAGTAAGTTATTTGAATGAAATACAAATTTAGAAGTGGGAGCATCACCAAAAGAAACTTAGGTACAATTTCAGGATATCCCTCTTTCATCTTTCTCTTAAAGTCTGTATTTTGATGTAATTATTCACTGGAAATCAAAAGGAGTTGGGGGGAAGTAATCAGTATATATTAAAAAGTATATGTGTGAAACCAAGTGAGGTATTTAAGTTATTGCATAAAATTTAGTTGAAAAAAATGTATATAATTTCAGCAGCTAGCCCTTGTCCCATATTTTATTATTATTAAATTTCTCCCTTTTTTGTAGACTATCATCTAGGTGGATTTAAGGAGTAGTCTTAATGTGTGTAGGGGGTCTATAAAATACTATTGATAAAGAAACTGAGAGAACCTTGTTGGTTCCCATTGAATAAATACCTTTCTTATAATATGTCTGTTTCTCCTAAGAAATTCCCCATTTTAAACACTTTTAAGGAAAACTACAATTGGCTGTTATTTATCTTTATTTTGTTCCCTTCCCTCCCCCGGTTTTCCCTTCAGTAACCAGTTCAAGAAGTTCCCTCAGATGACCTCATATCACCGGATGCTATTACACCGGGTAGCTGCCTATTTTGGGATGGACCACAATGTTGATCAAACTGGAAAAGCTGTTATTATCAACAAAACCAGTAACACAAGAATGTAAGGGAGGAAACCACCGATTGGGAAGACTTTCCTGGGATAGCTTCTGGGGTGGAAGAGAAAGGTTATAGGATCAAGCTGTCTTTCTGGGGAAGAGAAGGGATGTGGGAGTGGGAGGCTATATTATCAATTCCTCCTCTTTTCTCCTCCTGTGAGGTGTTGGATATAGATTCTAGAGGCACTGATATTTTGTGAAGACTGGCCCCGGCCTCTCTTCACCTTTGCTGATAGGAGAGATATAACTTTGGAGGAAGACAAGTTGTAGATGTATAAAGAACAGACCCTGAGGACTTCATTACACCTTATGTGACTTTTTGAATGCCTGACTCCAGAAATCCACCTGATGAGAGTTATGGAATTTAAGAGACCTGTACTAGGAGGTATGCTTCCTAACAAAAGGGTTTTTCCTCCCTTCCTTCCACATTTTTCTCCCAATCCCAGCCCTGAACAGAGGTTCTCAGAACATATAAAGGATGAGAAGAATACAGAATTTCAACAGAGATTCATTCTCAAGAGAGATGATGCCAGTATGGACCGAGATGATAACCAGGTAAAGAATGGAAAGGGGTGGGTGTAGAGAGAGATTGCAGTAAGAGAAACTGGGAGGGCAGAAGAATTTTTGTGGGATAGAGAAAACTTGAAATATGGAAAAATGTATTGAGCTATTGATATATTGAGTTGGCTTTGGCTTCATTTTGGGGGTTGACACTTTGCTGAGCTGAATACCACCCATTAGCCCAGAGAGACATGGTGCTGAGGTTTGCTGGGTTTTCTTATTTGTCCTGGAATCCCTGACTTCTAATTGCACATCTTTAGGGACAAAGCAAGGTCCCTCCCTGCTTCTGCCTTGATTCAGTTGATGATTTCATTCTTTTTTTCTTTAATAGTTAGGGATATTTCTTTGGGAACTACTCAAAGCTACTTTATCCCACTTCCACTCTTATCCTAGTTCAGGACTAGCCTTGAACTAGCCTTTTAAAGGTGTTTCTGATCCTTTTCTGCAAATTCTTTTTCTAAGTCCTTCCACCAAGGTGAGTGAGTTAATTTGGTTCTGATGTTGGGAGCCTCAGACAATATCCCCTTTTTTATTCACTCCTATAGGAATGAGAAGTGAACAATCTGCCCCATCCTTTCCTTTATGGGCTTGGCTTTTCCTCTGACTTTGAGCTCACCCTTTAGATAGCAAGTGATTATTTGTGGGTTAGTTTTCTAGCCACATGTAGAGTTTAGATCCAGCCTATTTCTGCTTGACCTCCAAAGGAGGTTAGGTGGAGAACCAAGATTAAGGTTTAAAGAGCATGGTTGGGCAATGCCAATATGAATCTTGCTAATTAAAGATAACTATAGTAATATCTTACCTCTAGAGTCAAAATTAGTTTCTAAGATATTGTATCATCTTGAGACCAGGACTTTCCTGCTTGTTACTTGATTATTTGAGGGAATCTTTTGAGAAAAGTACCATTATCTGTTGTGGACAAACATGCTGGGTCTGATTGAAAGCAATGAAATATACAAAAAGATAAACAAATTTTAAAAAACAAGAAAGAGCCTTTCCATCCTGATGCCCTTCTCTCCATTTTCCTAAAACCTTTTTTTCTGTGGATCAGGAATTATTCAGGTCTCAAGGCACATGAGTGGAATTTGTCCCTATTTTATCTCTCAGCTTCAGGCTTGATTCACAATAGGTTAGGCTCTGTGCACTTTCTGTGTACTAATAATAAACACTGTAATTGCTATTCTATTGAGTGTTTTTCCTGAACTAGATTCTGTTCCTAACACATATACATTATCTTTTAATCTTCATACCCCAGTGTAGATGGGGATTATTAGCCCCACTTTAAATGTAAGAAAACTGAGGCTAAGAGATGTTATTTGCCTGAAATGACATTACTCAGAGGTGGCAAAGCTGAGATCCTGCCAGACCTCAAAGCCCATTATATACTTTCTACTCTGCCACTGGTTTACTAGTACTAGGGGCTGAACACAATATAGTGCCATAAAGTCCTGTGTCTTCTTGGAATGGGATTGTAAAAAGGCATGTAGTAGAATTTAGGTTCTTCAGACTAGTGAGAACTAAATCTAGTCAAAAGTTGGTACTCCTGAAGGCATGCCTACCTCTGGAGATTGGTGAAGGTGGGGAAAGTCAGCCTAGAGCAACAGTCTTCTTGGTTGTTTCATCTAAAGTTTCCAAAGCCCTGAATTGAAGGTCAGAATCTTATAACCTGACGACATTCATTTGATGGGTTACCTCCCTCAGAACTCCTTGCCTTCAAGACAAGGGAAAGGACACTCTATAGCACCCTACCCAAGATAGTGCCCATAACTCACAAACCAAGAGAGGAAAGGACAGTGTGGGGGAGAGGGGTGATACACAGCCAGAGGTGGTGATCTGCTCAGCCATCCCTTTAGTCACCTCACTACATTTCTCAGAGAATATAAGGTTCCCTATTCGCCATTTTCTTTTCCCTTTCTAACGCTCTTTCTCCCCTCCTTCCACCTTATCTTATCTGTTCCTTTCTCTGCCCATCCTTCTTTCTGTTTCTCTTTGCCCTTTCTTTCTCTTTACCTCATTGTGTTACTCTCTTCTCTATTTTTGTAGTTTCTCTCTCTCCCTCCCTCCAGGAGTTACAGTTAAGATGAGGAAAAATTCTTAAGCATTGAGTTTAGCTTTACCCTTGGGATTTTGTTTCCAAAGCTCTCTTTGTCGAGCTGTGTACAACTTGGATCTTCAGGACATGGCATTCATTAGTGACTAAAGAAGGGATAATATCAGGTGTTAGATCTGTAAAACTCTTCTTTACATTCAGCTCTGCTAATTACATGTTTCTTCTCCTTCTCTAGCTTCCTCCTATCCCTTGCTTTCCCTCAGAATAATGTTGTTTATTCCCTCAACAATTCTCTTGATTCTTACTGATTGGAGAGTACGTGAATACCATAAGGAAGCAACCCAATCCTTATAAATAGTTGTTGTTCTTGATATTCTGGGGGTGGGGGTGGGGAGATGGAGAGGCCCCAACCATCCAGAAAACCTGATCTCCCAAACTGCATGGTCAGATGTACCCAGTGAAACCTGTCCAACACTGGAAATTTTAGTGCTCCCCCCCCTTTTTTTTATGGCAACTATAAACTCTCCCGGTTTCTCTTCCTTGCTGGTGTGCAGTGAGCTTGCAGTACGAGGAGAACTTAACTAGCTTAATTCTGCTCATCGATCTAGATCAGAGTTCCATTGCAGGATGGAAGGAGGAGCAAGTCAATAGAAGAGAGAGAGGAGGAATATCAAAGGGTCCGAGAGAGAATATTTGCCCGAGAGGTAAGTGTAGCTTCTGAGAGTTGTCAGCCCATAGCTTTTAGCTCTTAATCTTTGGAACTGTGAATGGAATGAACCCTCCATAAATGTGTTGTTGTTGTTGCTTTTTAACCAAAATCAGCCAGCCCCAGATTTGATCTCTAAAATTAAATGTGGCTTGTTAAGAAGCTGCAGAGTTTTATTTGTATTATTTTTTAATACATCCTGCTATATGGCATATAAAGAGAACAAATGGAGTGGCTGAATTTGGTGGATATGATTAGACTGAAAATAGAAATGGTTTTGGCAAGGCTTATGGAAGGGCTTTGAATCTTGCCTGTCAAACCCTCCTCCCACTTACCCTCTTTCACTTCCACTATCCATTTTAGGCATCTTTGCTTCTAAGTGGAAGACTTAGTGTCCACACAGCCTGTACATTTTATCTTGTTTGGCCAGCCTCATTTTTAGGATATGTTGGTGATTGTTAGAGCACAGATCTGGCATCATTCTCTGAGCTCCACATTCCATATTCACAAAAGGTACCACTCACTAGTCCCTCCAGTCTCTACCTGAACAGAAAGTTTCTTTCTTCCTATATATCTTAACTTGCTTCTTAGAATAGGACTGGCTCTTTGGGCCAAAAGCCAGCATGAATCATTTTAGGCAACTTTATTCTTAAGAGTTGTAAGCCAAATCAGATATACTTGATACCCCTGTATCTGGTGACCTTTGCCTACCAGACTGAAGAGAAATATAGCAGAAATTCAGGAAAGGCCATAGATAGGGAAGAGGGGAACAAATCTACAGAAAATGTAGGATCCAGTTAGCAGCACCATCTTACAATCAAATTAGCAAATAAAAGAGGAAGAACCAGCCTCCCTTCATTGTCAAAACATAGCCAGTTATAATCAAAATACTTAGACACTACTCTCCTCCCATTTTCCTACTCTCCCCTCTGTCAAGAATACACACACACACACACACACACACACACACACACACACACACACACACACATCTTTTCATCACCTCAGAAAAATATTGTCTCCAACTTTAAAAAAACTGAACTCCTCTATGAACTTGTTCCATTGTCCCAGGACACCCAAATGTTTGAAGGATCCTCTTCACTGGGGACAGATATATGATAAATTTTCTGGCCAGAGCTCCCAAAAGAAGGAATCTTCTTATCTTCTGTTACATAGACTTCCATTTTGAGTCAGAAAAATCTGTTCTCCAATTATCCAACCAGGATAATTGGATAATCCTCAAAGAGAATTCTCTAACCTTTACCTGCAAACCAATTGGGTGGAATGAAAAGAGATCATTTGTACATGGCTGTAGCTGGTAGTGACCCTAAATTGTGACAGAGCAGGTTGGGGAATAATAATAGCAAACATTTATATAGTTTTTACACTCTCTTAGCACTTTGCAGAAATTATTTAATCCTCATACTAGGTTATGTTATTTTCCTCATTTTATAAATGTGGGATTGAGGCAGAGAGAGATTAAGTAACCTAAGTCACACCACTAGTTAGTAAAAGAGCTGGTGTTTTAATTCAGGTGGTCTGGCTCAAGTCCATGCTCTTAACCCCTAAAGTAAACTACCTCTCAATAGTTTGCTTTGCTCTGAGCTCTTTAGATTAAGAAGTACCAGTGACATCATAGCATAGCATTCTGTAATGTGGACCTCTGCTTCACTGACACATGGAAAATGACTGTCCCACCATGACAGTATATTAGCTATTCTGAAAGTACAAGAAACTTTTAACAGGGTATTGAGGCTTATTATGAACAACACTGGAATATGTCTACTTACATATTCCATATGAACTACACTGGAATGTCTACCTCCCTTGCAGATTTATCACTTTCATTTCAGCACTTACTACATCTTACTGTGGGTAGAGGCATCAGGAATCTCAGAAGAAAAATGGCCAAAGTTCACCATATTCCAAAGATTCCCATATAGAGAGGAACCTGGCCAGTCAAAGGGAGATGATTAAGGATGGAATTGAGGAAAAGACAGGCCAAAAAAGAGAGAAGTGGCAAGAAGGGTGTTTGGATGGAAATGCTGATGCTGCAGCCTTCTCTGGAGCCTGAGCTGTGTATTGGGAAAACTGCCCCATACAGGCTCTGCTCTGTGTGGAGTCCACTCCGCTCAGTACTTTTGGTACCTTTTTCTAAGGGTTGGGAGTCCACTATAAAGCTTACTTCACTCAGCTCAGTGCCTTTGTCAGTAAATCTCCCCAAAAGGAATGTTTTAGGCTTTTTATTTTCTCGGTTTTCTAAGCTTTAAAAAGTACCTGCTTCCCCAATTTCTTATTTTCATTGTGTCTCAGGTCAGAATGTCTTTCATTTTGGCCAGAGTAGAGGACAGAAATGAAATAATTATTGAGGATGATTAAAAAAAAAAAAAAAAAAACACCGAAATTTCTTTCTCTTGTCTCCCTTTTTCCTTTCTTTGAACACATTCTTTAGGACAAGCACACCAATTATTATGCTCACTTTACCTCTAGAGAGAATAAATTTAGAGCTTAAAAGGGAAATAATAGTTAGGTTAATACTTTCCTCTTCCTCCTTTCCATACTCCTACCTTTATTAACCTCTCTTTTTAAACACTCTGGGAAGGCTAAAAATGCTCAGTGCTCTTTCCCATTAAAGATGAGAAGTCAGATTGGGTGTGTGGGTGTGGGTCATCCTGTCCCTGCTCCCTCTCTCCCTGTTGGGGGGTGAGCTTGGTTTGAGGACCTTGGGTATTCATAGCATCATGGACACCCTTTTCGGTTATGCCATGCTGTTTTCTTATAAGTTATTTTCCGTTTTCTCCCCCTCACCTAGACTGGCCAGAACGGATATCTAAATGACATCAGGTTAGTACCACTTAGCATGTTCTCTGCTTCTCATTGAGCTTTTCAGTGAGGTTAATATAATCCTGTAATGATGCTTTTCTTTGATGTTAACCAACAGAATCTCCAAAGAAGCCTTTTCTTCTAGCTCTCACAAGAGAAGGCAGATTTTTAGGTACTTCTGTGTAATCTTTATCTTTCCTTGTTTTTGTTTTTTTTTAATTTGTTTGTTTTGTTTTGCTTTGTTTTGTTTTGCTGTAATCTTTTCAGCAGTGAGTTTGCTCCATGCATGGCTGCTTGTGGAATAATTCAGTTTGTGGTTTTTGCAACATTGGATATTTGTCCCCATTAAAAAAAAACACATACACACGGCTTTTGCTCAATTACTTTATTTTTATTGTTGCTGATTTCATTTTAAGTCCTGGATAGGTGGTGAAGGGAACCAAATAGTTATATGGAATAGGTACTGTTTCTTCCCAGAAATTTGCTGGAATTGGGCATTTTTGGAGGAGTTCAACATATTAAGGTAAAAGAATGGATGTCTTTTAAGCTACCTTTTCTGAATCTGTGGAAAGATAGGAAGAGCTTATCCCTGACCCAGCATAGGGAATGTTTTGTATCTTTAAGAAAGAATAGTACTAACACATACAAATACCTCTGTCTATGAGTTCTGTCTTTGGAACAATGTGTAATGGGTAAGATGACCCACTTCTGAGACCCAAGGACCTCCGAAAGAACTGTCTGCCTTAGGAGGTCTCTAGATCATGTCCTTTATGTTATTGTTCATGACTTGTTCTTAATTGTTGGCGAAAGCTGCTGTACTAATTTCTCCAGTATCTAATATTCTCCATTTTCCACAAAGCAGTCATGAGAGCCTTTTATTTCAGTCTCTCCATTCCACCCCAGCAGATTACTAAAGGTGGTGATGAGAGAAGAGCTACTTTAGGACCCTATCTTAGCACCAACTCATTTTAAATATATTCTTCCCATTTACCGTAGAAAAACTATAGAGCACAATATTTAATACCAGAATTCAGGTCTAATCCTTTCCAAAGGGCTTCTGTCTTTTTTTAATCTTTAGCTTGATAGGACCTTACTAACTCAGATTAGTTAGAGCTCTCATCCCCAGTACTTCAGTTGTCCCTTCCGTGTTATCCTTTCTAAAGTTAGTTAAGCCATCTGGAGGTTGGGATAGAGAGATTTTCCATTCTTGGGTTGAAGGATTTATCTCCCTTTCCATATCTTTGAACTTTTTTTCCTAGACTATTCCACCCTTATGTCCATACGAAAGCCCCAGGCAAAAGGGCTCAGCATTTGTGGTGGTGGTCGAGATAGAGTCCCCTTTAAAAAAAAAAAAAAAAAGTTCCTGTTCCATATTGTACACTTCAATTAGAATTCATGCCAGAATTCCTATAATAAATAGGAGTTTTAAACTAACTTCTATTTGTGACTTCGTGCACAATGCTTGACAGTTGCTAAAATACATTAGCTGATTCAGTTCTCTCACTGATTTGATAAACTGGCTTACATGAAAGAAAACAAAAGCAGAGACATTTAAGTGACCAACCCATGTTTTCATAGCTACTAGTGGCAAAACTGGGACTGACTCTTTGTCCAGTGTACTTTTCATCATACCACATCAGCTTTCTACAAGCATCACTCCTTCCTGTCTGAGTATTGTTCCATTCAGAGCCCTAATTCAGACTTACTGCTAAGGATGATGCTCTTATTAATGCTGCAGAGCATCTAACTATATTAACTATGCCGATAACTAGAGTCCCTGTACACAGAATTCATGCACGGGTAGGGTCCCTAGGCCTGGCCGGCAATCAGGGCCGATCAGGTTTCCACCTCCCAACCTCTTCCTTCCCTCACTCCCTCAGAGTCCCACCACCACCGCTGGTTGCCTGTCCTGTTTCACACCGCTCCCTTGTGGTCAGTGCATGCCATAGGAACAATTTGCATATTAGCCTTTTATTATATAGGATAGCTTGAAGGATCTAGTTAGCAGGTGCAGCCTTCTCCTCTCCAGATCTCCTTTATGCTGCTGCTTTCCATACTGAGTTCTGATTAAAAATCTAGGTCATTTAAATGCAGCTCCATGAACTCTTAAGGGGTACTTCATTCTCTATTTGGGTACTATTTCAGAACTCTAATCATTAGAAACTGATCTTCTCTAGCTTTATTCCCAAGTTTGTGAAATAAGTACTGATATACCAGATTTCCTCATCCGCAATTGGCAATAACTATGGCAGCTTCCCAATCCTTTGAAAGATTCTATTCCACTGATAAATAAGCCACAATGAGGGTTACTGATATTTTTGCTACCTCTTCTACAAACTTATCTTCCCACTTCCCACACACAATAAACTGGACTTTTCACAGCACTGAATCAACTTGTAAAAATGAAATCGGCTCTGATTTCACAGGAGTATAAAGTGCGAATTTTCTCTGTTCTTCACCCTTATCTTTCTAACACACAACCCAGTCCAATGCTCAGAATTGCGTTTGGTAGTTTTCCCTCACTGCCTTATTTTTAGTAAAGTGGAAAGACTTGACTAGAGGTTGTGTGTAGTCATAGGAAAGGAAAACTGATCTTTTTCCTAACCAAGACTCAACTTAGATTCTTTAACTTTCAGGTTAGTCAGAAGATGATTTTGAGAATGTGGCCATCACTATCTTGGGGGAGGGAACTGGATGAGTACAGAAGTGCTGCCATTTTGGCTCAAGCTTCCCAGAGCGTTTGGTTTAAAGTTGACTCATTCACTGTCTTTTGGTAGAAAAATTAAGTGGCACAATTGTTCTAATAGAGAGTATTGTGTTTGATTTAGATATAAAAGGCCATTAGGACTTTTGCAAAATTTAAGCTCTAATGTCTAATAAGCAGCCTCATCCATTGCTACTGCTGTATCCCATTACCCCAAAAAACACACATCTTTATTGAGTCCTCTCAGTAGAATTGCCTTTGTCCATTAAGATGGAGCTATCGGTTCTCACTTGAGGTCTGGAGATTCCCTGGTTTATACTTCTTTCTTTTTTCCCATTCCACTTTGACATCCCCAAGAAAAAGGGATAAAGTTTTGGAGAACCAGGCATATTTTCTAGCCCTCTATTCTAATGATATAGAATAGTTTTGAGGTCTTTATAAATCTACTTGGAATTCAGAGAAGAATTAGTATGTCACTAACCAGCTGTGTCTGTGTGTTGTTAGCCCACCATGACTGGCTTAGCTAAATAACTAAAAATAGTGATTCAGGCAAATATTTTGCCCATCTTCTCTAAAGTACCTTTGGAGCAGATAGTCTATAAAGAAAGTTAGTCTTTAATATTATCCCCTTGAGGAAAATACCTTTCATCCTAGCCAGTTTCCTCAGTGGTTAGTGCATTGCTCCAAAGACTGAAGGGTCTTGGGTTCAATTCCCATTAGGGGCACGTATCTTGGTTGTAGGCTCAACCCCCAGCCCTGGTCAGGGCGCATGTGGGAGGCAAATAATCGATGTGTCTTTCTCATGTCAATGTTTTTCTGCCTCTCCCCCTCCCTTCCAATCTCTCCAAAAATCAATGAAGAAAGAAAAATACCTTTCTAGCCAAAACCAGTTTGGCTCAATGGATAGAGCATCGGCTTGGGAACTGAAAGGTCCCAGGTTTGATTCCAGTCAAGGGCATGTACCTTGGTTGCGGGCATATCCCCAGTAGGGGGTGTGCAAGAGGCAGCTGATCGATGCTCTCTCTCATCGATGTTTCTAACTCTCTATCTCTCTCCCTTCCTCTCTGTATAAAAATCAATAAATTTTTTTAAAAGAAAGAAAAATACCTTTCTATATTAGAATAACTATAAACCTGTTATCTTTGAAACTAAAAGGATTGCCTTAGGTAGAATGATGGTGAAAAGGATGGAGCTCAAACTACCATGAGTTTTGCTCAATTGCTTCCTAATATACATCCCAAAATCTTTGTAATTGTTGTCATTTGATTTCCTTAGGTTATTAGTTGTTGGGAATGGGAGATGTGAAAGGAAAACCCCTCATTCTTGGTTGCTTATGGATTAAGAAGTGGTAAGAGCTCAACAAGACTTAGAACTTTCAGTCCAACCCTATGTATCTTGAGTATAGCACTTTATAGACACAAGCAGCAATTATAGCATCAGGATAACCTGATGTTTCTAGAGCAAAATAAGAGGATGAATCCCTTTTCTCCATAGCCTTTCACCTTGCCTAGGGCAGCAGGGTTATTTACATGGAGGCAACTAGGCACAGTCCATCCTCTGCTGTTTGCCATCCTGGGTCCCAAGAGCATATTTGCTTGATCATGCCAAAGACTTTAGTCCTTAGAGACCCTGGAATCAATTGTTCCCAAATGCCAACACAGAACTTCCACAAAACAGGTTAGGTCAATTCCAGACTATCAGACTGAGTTTTCCAGAATGCCCCTTTAGTCCACTATACTCTTCCCACCCCAGAAACAGTGGTCATAAGAAACACCTCTGCCCAGCTGGCATGGTTCGGTGGTTGAACATCGACCTATGAACCAGGAGGTCACGGTTTGATTTCTGGTCAGGGCACATACCCATATTGCAGGCTCGATCCCCAGTGGTAGGCATGAAGAAGGCAGCGATCAATTATTCTCTCTCATCATTGGTGTTTCTACCTCTCTCTCCCTCTTATTTTCTCCCTAAAATCAATTTAATTTTTTTTTTTTAAACGCCCTAGCCAGGTTGGCTCAGTAGACAGAGCATCAGCCCACAAACTGAAGGGTCCTGGGTTTAATAATGGGTAACGGCATATACCTCGGTTGCAGGCTCAATCCCCAGCCCTCATTGGGCACATGCAGGAAGCAATCAATCCATGTGTCTCTCTCACATCAATGTTTCTCTCTGTCCTTTCCCTTCCCTTCCACTCTCTAAAAATCAATGGAAAAAAATTCCTCAGGTGAGGATTAACAAAAAAGAATCACCCCTGCTGTCTTAGACACATTATATGGAAGACCTGTTATGGGATCTATCCATATCATTAGCTCCTCCTGCCTCTAGCACTGATAACTTCTAGGAGTCCTTTTGTTTTAAGAACTCCGAGAAAGAAATGGTACCCCTCTGCTCCCCACTATTTCCTGCATGTCTGGGGTCCTGCAGTGGGGAGCTGGGGGAAGAGACCACAGCCAATCTCAGCATCATGTGTGCGGTTCCCACCCACCTCTGGTCTGTTGTATTGAGTTGCTAGTGCGCTGTCTTCCAGCTGTGCCCCCATGCTCTTTGTTAATATACCGGGTATTGTTCTGTCTGCTCTCATCAACTCTTGGTGGGCCAGCCAACTAACAAAAAGTCCATCCTCTACCCAACCTCACCCCTTCTTTGTTATTGAAAGAATAGAAATGAATTCTCTCCTAGCCCTCCTGCCGAAGTGGTAGATGGAGGGTGCTCTGACCACTGTGGTCTCTGCAGGGGGAACCGTGAGGGGCTAAGCCGCACCTCAAGCAGCCGCCAGAGCAGCACAGACAGCGAACTCAAATCCCTGGAGCCACGGCCTTGGAGCAGCACAGACTCTGATGGCTCTGTTCGAAGCATGCGGCCCCCTGTCACCAAAGCCAGCAGTTTCAGCGGGATCTCTATCCTCACCCGGGGTGACAGCATTGGGAACAGTAAAGCTGGCAGTGCAGGAAGAATCTCCAGGCCAGGTACTACAGCTTCTCACCTATGTCATGCTATCATGTTTTGCTTGTCGTTTGCAAAAAATCACATTGATACTTACTTTTTTTTTTTTTTAATCTTTATTGTTTAAAGTATTATATATGTCTCCTTTTCCCCCCATTGACCTCTCCCCAACCCTGATACTTTTAATAAAACACTTGTCCCAATATTATGTCCTGGAAACCTAACACAGCCAGAAATTTTATTTTTTTAATTAATCCATTGTCCTTTTGAGTACTCTCTCTGACTTTCTTTCAGACCTTTCCTAATGGGGGGAGGGGAGAAACTGATTGAATTAGATTAATTGATCTGATTTCTGATTGAGGTGGGACATCTCTATAAGCACAGGTTCAGGTCACATACTGAGATGTGGCCTCTGAGATTATAAGGAGGGTCTGTAGAGCAGAGGGAACCCTTAGAATTTAGTATTTGTAATTCATTGGTGGCAGCCAATAGGCTAGGACTTTGAAAGATACTTCTGTGACTGCTTTCCTGGAGCTTGTCACTGAGAAAAGGAGCATGAGTTCCACCTGCCAGCCTTGTAGCCACCCTTTAGCTCTTCTCATCTGCTGTGAATCCTTCTCCAACTATTTCTGTTGTACTCTTAGCTGAGGGATATTTAGCTCTTTATGCCCAGTGGAACTCTGTTCCACCATCCTCCTGCCTATGAGGAATTATTTGAGAAAACCAAGATGGCAGCATAGGTACTCACTTACACTTGCTGCATCTCACAACCACATGAAAATCACAACTAAATGGCAGAACTACCACCCAGAACCACAGGAAAGCTGGCTGAGTGGAAGTTCCACAACTAGAGAGGTGAATAAAATGCATGGAGAGTGATAGGAATTGTGGAAAGTGCTGGCACCTGGATGTGCTGCTCTTTTAACCGGAAGGGAGATACAAGCTCCTCCTTACTCTGAACTCTAGTTCTGGGCGAGACTCTGGGAGGCCCAGGAACATATGGGGAGAAACTGGGCTGTCTGGCATCTGGATAGGAACTCGAGGGTGGCTTACTCTTAGAGTTGCTCTCAGTGATCATTGTTCCTGCATGGGGGTGCAGGACGCAGAGAACCAGGGACTTCTCTGGTTCAGGGCTGACTGGCAGCCATTGCTATTTGCTCAGCCTTGGTGATTCCCAGAGATCCCGCCCCATCCAATTTACAACCCCACCCAAGCTGTGTGCAGAGGCTTTTGCATATGAATGGCCTGTCCTTTCACCTAAAACCTGTCAAACTGCAGCTGGGTCAGAAAGCCTCAGAGCTTCCACAAGAATGTCCAAGGCAGCAGCTGCCTCACTTCACAGCTGGGCCTTGTCTGGGCACTTCCAAACCCTATACAAAGAGGAGGAGTCTGCAGATGTCTCTGTAGCTCCTGCTGGGCGGCCCCAAACAGTGACCAGCCTTGCACCTCCTTGGCACCTCCAAGAGCCAATATATACAGTGGTCAGAGTGAGATGATACCGGATTACAGTTCTTCACATCCATAAGAGATACACTCAAGGGGCAGACTCAGTGAGCACCAAAGCCCAACTGAAGTAAATCCTGCCCCATACAAGTGTTTTCTATGCAACAGATTTTCCAGTGTAGACAACAGCTTGTCATCACAGCCAATTGGCCTGGAGGTGAATTCCTCCCAGTGATACCAACAGCAATTAAGGGTTAACTACAAACAGCCCACAGAGGGGTTCATCAAGAACGACCACCTCAGGTGACTGAGGAGGCTGATCCACTGGGCCCTATAGGACACCAACCACACAAGGCCACTCTGTCAACTCAAGGAGACTTAGCAGCTACCCAGTACATAGAGAAACAGCCAAAATGCAGAGACAAAGAAACATGTCACAAATGAAAGAAATGGATGAAAGCAAAATACTGGATATAGAGTTCAAAACCACAGTTATAAGGTTACTCAAGAATCTTCTAGAAACCTCTGAGAAATTTAGTGAGACCCTCAAAGATATGAAAAAGTACCAATTAGAAATTAAGCATACATTGACTGAAATAAAGAATAATATAAAGAGGTCCAACAGCAGACTAGAGAATACCAAAAATCAAGTCAAAGATTTGAAATTCAAAGAAACAAAAAACACCCAATCGGCCGAAACCGGTTTGGCTCAGTAGATAGAGTGTCGGCCTGCGGACTGAAAGGTCCTGGATTCGATTCCAGTCAAGGGCATGTACCTTGGTTGCAGGCACATCCCAAGTGGGGGGTGTGCAAGAGGCAGCTGATCAATGTTTCTCTCATCGATATTTCTAACACTCTGTCCCTCTCTCTTCCTCTCTGTAAAAAATCAATAAAATATTTAAAAAAAAACAAAACAAAAAAAAACACCCAATTGGAAAAGAAAAAAGAATCCAAAAATATGAAGATAGTGTAAGGAGCATATTGGACAATTTCAAGCATACCAACATCCGAATTATGGGGGTGCCAAAAGAAGAGAGAGCAAGATATTGAAAACCTATTTGAAGAAATAATGTCAGAAAATTTCCCCTACCTGGTGAAAGAAATGGATTTACAAGTCCAGGAAGAGCAGAGAATCCCAAACAAGAAGAATCCAAAGAGGACCACACCAAGACACATCATAATTAAAATGCCAAGGGCAAAAAACAAAGAGAGAATCTTACAAGCAGCAAGAGAAAAACAGTTAGTTACCTACAAGGGAGTACCCATATGACTGTCAACTGATTTCTCAACAGAAACTATGCAGGCCAGAAGGGAGTGGCAAGAAATATTCCAAGTGATGAACAGCAAGAACCTACATCCAAGATTACTCTACCCAGCAAAGCTATCATTTAGAATTGAAGGTCAGATAAAGAATTTCACAGACAAGAAAAAGCTAAAGTTCATCACAGCCAAACCAGTATTATATGAAATGCTGAAGGGTATCCTCTAAGAAGAGGAAGAAAAAAGTAAAGAGAAAAATTATGAACAACAAATACATATCTATCAATAAGTGAATCTAAAAATCAAGTGAATAAAAAATCTGATGAATAGAATAAACTGGTGAATATAATAGAATCAGGGGCACAGAAAGGTAGTGGACTGACAATTCTCAGGGGGAAGGGGGTTTAGGGGGTGTGGGAAGAGATTGGACAAAAATCTTACACCTATGGACGAGGACAGTGGTGGGGGGGTAAAAGCATTGGGTAGGTTAGGAACAGGGTAGAGGGGCGGGAGAGGAACAACTGTAATTATCTAAATAATTTTTTTAAATGAATTACTTGATTTTCCTCCCAGAAGTTCTATAGGTCTTATCCTCAGAAGAGGTCAGTAGTGGTGAAGATTTTTGCCTCTGACTGTTGGGTCTCTGCTACCCTTCCTGATACCTCCTTTCTAGTTCCATTGCCTCTGCCTTTATACAGGCCTTTATCTTCTCTTATTTAATTATAATACTAGCCCTCAAGTTGGTTTTCTGTCCTCAGCCCTTTTTATAGGCAATTTACCAATCTGTAACATAGATCTAATCAAATCACTCCTCTTTAAAAACATTCATGTTTTTTCGTTTCCTGCATAGTAAAATCTAAATTACTTATTACAGCATAACTTCCTGGCTCTATTTTGGCATCTCAATCTCATTTCAAGATATCTATCTTTCTCTGGCCCTCTAGCAATTTCTTGAATACGACTTTAGCTTTGTCTCCTCTCAGTCTTATAAGCCTTCTATTCATCCTTTAAAACTATCTGTCCTGCCACTTCCTCTTTAAACCCTTCCCTTTAGCCCTTCTAGGAGCTATTGATTCCTCATCTTTGCTTTCATACAATTTTGTTTGTATCAGTGATGCATCAGTTATTCTTTTGAGATTGTAATCATTGTGTGGGTGTTCACCTTTTGTCAGGAGATCCTGTGCTGTTTAAGGGCAAAGACTGTGTTCCCTTTATTTTAGTGTACTCAGTTCATTATAAATGCCTGACACATTCTATACAATATGCAAATTGACCGAATGGCAGAACTACCGGTCACTATGACATGCACTGACCACCAGGGGCAGATGCTTAATGCAGAAGCTTCCCCTTGGTGGTCAGTGTGCTCCCACAGGGGGAGTGCCGCTCAGCCAGAAGCCAGGCTCATGGCTGACGAGCACAGCAGTAGTGGCGGAAGCCTCTCCCTCCTCCAAGGCAGCACTAAGGATATCCGGGGAGCGGGCCTAAGCCATCAGTCGGACATCCCCCGAGGGCTCCCAGACTGAGAGTATAGGCTGGGCTAAGAGTCTCCCCCCTGAGTGCCCAAATTTCGTGCATCAGGCCTCTTGTAGTAGATATTCATTAAAAGTATTTTGTGTGAATGCATGCATGACTTGGAGAGCCTGGAAATGGGGAAAACAGATAAAGGTTGCATTTGTGTACACAGGCATGTGCTTGGAGAGGCAAGGCTGCCTTCTCAGCAACTTTTGTGAGATGCTGAAAGTTAAGAGGAAATCAAAGAGAAAACAAGTCTCTTAAAGGATTAGGAATCTGTACCTTCCCAGGAAATAAACATTTATGTTTCTAGATATCTAATCATGATATTCTAAGCACTTTGGGGGAGGTTGACTTAGCCTCACATTTTGTTCAATGCTAAAACCAAACATTGACAATCAAGGTAGTTACTGTCCCTAGAGAACAAAAATGTGCGAAGATGAGGACTCCCATCATCAGGACAGCTGAAATGCACCCGTGCTAATACATGTATCTTCCCAAGACAGTTGGAGAAATGGACAGGAGAGTGAGGAGAACAGCAAAGAAAGACTAGAGCCCTGCAGATGGGCCCTCCAGGGGTAGTATGTTCATGACTTGCACTTACAAGTCTCCTCTTTGGTGGGTCTCCTCTTTGCCTTAGGTATGGCTCTAGGTGCCCCAGAAGTGTGCAACCAAGTCACCTCATCCCAGTCTGTCCGGAGCCTTCTCCCCTGTACTGCCCAGCAACAGCAGCAGCAACAGCAGCAGCAGCAGCTTCCTGCTCTCCCACCCACGTCTCAGCAACAGCCACCCTTGAATAATCACATGATCTCACAGGTGAGTCACTGCTCAGTGCCAGGCCCCCCTTTGCTCAGATTCAAGCAAGCTCTGGAAGTACAGTCATGTCTCTTGTGCTGTGGGTGGTAGGAATGATCTGTTTTTAGAGACTTGCCACTCTTCCCCATTTCTCATTTGTTAGTTTTAGGGGAAGAAGAATAAGGATGAAGGTTTGGCCAAAGTGCTCTTCGTAGTGTCAGTCTGGGAGATTTCTGCTTTATATATTTCTTCCTCTTCCTCCTAAAAATTGTCAGTAGGATCTTTTACCCCATTCCACATTTCTGATTAACCCCATCTCTCAGTATATCCTGTATAATTAACAAGATGATTTTGCTCAATATATCCATATATGGAGCTTAAAAAGATCATAGCTCCCACCATAGTCTGACTGAATGTACTCATGTGACTGTTGACCCATAAACATATATTGGGGTTAGGGGAAAAGGAAATAACACTCAAGGCTCCTGCAATACCTATGCCATAAAGCACAAACCCTCCCCACCCCCACCCCCCCAATATTTTCTGTTTTCCATGCCATAAGAGAGCTCCTTTTCTTCTTTTGCTGGATAGGTAGATGTTGGTACCAATTAGGGTATGAGTGAAATTTTGCTTCTATGGGGACCATCCAAGCCGTCAGCAAAAGAATTAAATCCTATTCTAAATGGAATCTCAGTATTCTAGGTTTAAAAGTCTCCTTAATAACTAAGGAGAGCTGCTCTGAGCTCTTATGAATAGAGCCCATGCTTTATCCCAAAGTGTTCAATGGTAGTCAGGAATCCCATGTCTGTACTCTGTTATGCTGTAGTTAAAATTCTTGTTACAGACTCCCTTGTCTCTCTGTTTAGTTAGTCCAGCTTGACCTAAAATATATCCCTTTTATAGGTACAAGAAACAAATTCCAAGCATTCATACCCCATAAAACCATTTTGGGGTCCAGTACTAGCCCATTCAAATTCTGTAAAATGAAGCTAAAGTAAAAAAACATGAAGATCTAGAAAACCCTACTTTGTGTTTTAATGTAACCCACATGCAGATCATTCTAGTCCTTCATATTAGTCCCTAAGTCAGTTTCTCTATAATCCTGACTTACTTTTAACACTATCTACCTCATTAAATCTCATCCTAATATATAAAAACCCTGGGTCTGTCATGACCGAAGGCTCGACCAACCCGAAGTCAGTCCTGCAGTCAGCGCTTGGTTGCCGTGGCCACCCAGCACTAACTACTGCCGCTGCAGATGGGGTGACCAAGCACTGACTGCGGAGGGGGCTGCAAATCAGGCCCTGAGAGAGGCCTGAAGAGAGAAGCAGGGTCTGATCTATAGCAGCTGTTGATCAGCACTTGCCCCTCTCTTTCCAGGCTGGGACAGCAGCCGCGCCTCCATTTCTCTCCAGGCCTCCCCCAGGGCTGCTGACCAGCCTCGCCTTTCCAATCAGGCACCATTGATAGGCCCAGAGATGCTGACTGGCATAGAAACCAACCAATCAGAACCAAATTGGCTGGCAGAAGAGGGCAGTTGGGGGCAAGATCAGGCAGGCTGGCAGAGGCAGTTGGGGGTGAGATCAGGCTGGCAGGGGAGAGCAGTTGGGGGGTGGGCAAGATCAGGCAGGCAGGCAAAGGCAGTTGGGGGTGAGATCAGACCAGCAGGGGAGGGTATATGGGGCAACCAGGCCAGTAGGGGAGGGCAGTTGGGGGCAGATCAGGCCTGCAGGGGAGGGCAGTTGGGGGTGAGATCAAACCCGCAGGGGAGGGCAGTTGGGGGTGAGATCAGGCAGGCAGGGGAGAGCAGTTAGGGGTGATCAAGCATGCAGGCAGAGGTTAGGGGCGATCAGGCAGGCAGGCAGGTGAGCAGTTAGGAATCAGCCGTCCCAAATTGTAAGAGGGATATTTGGTTGGAAAGGGTGCAGACTGGGCTGAAGGAACTCCCCCCCTCTCCATGCATGAGTGAATTTCATGCACCAGGCCCCTAGTCTGTGTGTGTGTGTGTGTGTGTGTGTGTGTGTGTGTGTGTGTGTGTATAATTGATCAGTGATGATAGAGGATCATTGATCAGCTGCCTCCTGATGCCATTGATGACTGTCCTACAATGCCCCACATTGGGGATTGAGCCCTCAACTCAGACATATGCCCTGACTGGGAATTGAACCATGACCCTCCTGGTTTATAAGTCAGTGCTCAACCACTGAGCCACGTAGTCTGGGCCATGTGTCTTAACTCAGACCTATAAGGGGGTAAACTCTGTGCTCCTCTCTCTGGCTATCTTCTATGTATGTTTCACTTTTCTAGAGCCCAGTTTTTTGGGGGTTTGTTTTCTAAAATACATGGATTTTCCCTTAGTTCTTCATCTGCCTCCTCCTTCTATCCATATCTAGAAACTGACATCAAGAATAGAATAGAAATAGAAAGATAAAGAGAATAACCATTTTAGACTGAAATTTTTTTTAATAATTTCCAAGTGACTGGCCCTGAATCGCAAATTTTACTGAGTCGAATTCTGTCTCTGCCTCTGCAACATGAGGGTCAGTGGGTTAGCTGTTGGCATTGACCGACCTGCAGGGAGTGTGGTGCTAATTTAGGCCCCGTAGATTCGGAACCGGGAGCATTATTTGGTTTAGAGATCTCTGCTCCCTCAGAAATTTATTCCTGAGATTAATTGTGATCACAAACTCCAAACCGAAGTGTTAAGTTTTGGTGTCCCTGAAGCATTTGTGGTAGCTGCTAATATTTTTATACACCTCTACCCCCATATGTAGTTCCTTTTTTCTTCTCCATTTTTTCTCCTTCTCTCTTTATCCTTTTCTTCTTATTGCCCTTTTCTTTCTTTTGTTTGTCCCTGTCTCTCAGTGCTGGTGGCTCTCCAAACTCAAGTTTCTGAGATCCAAAATACTTATTGTTCAGGTTCTCAAAAGGTACATTAAATAGAGCAGGCATGAAGGAAGTGATCATACACATACATACCACTGTGCTTGTTCTAAGATTTTCCTTTGGAAGAGAAACTGAGAAAAGATAGTTACCTTTAGCTCTGTAGCAAGAGACATTTGTCCCAGGCTTGGGACACTGCTGGCTAAACTGTGCTGTTTCCCTTCTTGGCAGGCTTCTGCTGTCAGAGCAGGCCTCCATATCACATGTCAGTAGTGCATGTGAAATCAAGGAGTGAGACTGAGGATTAAAGGGCCAGAGGCTACCTTTTGCCCAATTTACTTAAAGTGGAATAGGCCTCTTAAAAAGGAGCCCTCCTACCGAGACCGGTTTGGCTCAATGGATAGAGCGTCGGCTTGGGGACTGAAAGGTCCCGGGTTCAATTCCGGTCAAGGGCATGTACCTTGGTTGCAGGCATATCCCCAGTGGGCGGTGTGCAGGAGGCAGCAGATCGATGACTCTCTCTCATCTATGTTTCTAGCTCTCTATCTCTCTCCCTTCCTCTCTGTACAAAATCAATAAAATATTAAAAAAAAAAAAAAAGGAGCCCTCCAAACCTCTCGCCAGAAGCCCATTCAGATATCTAACAGCCAATGAATTTGTCAGTAGGTGACTGTCACATCCCTCAGGGCCAGTCTTTGGCTTCCTCACCGTTTTTAGGAAGTTCCCTAACTTGGATGTTTGAGATTTTCTAAGAAGAAAACTGTAGCTGAGGGTTGTGGTGGTATAACTTAAAAATAGTACAGCCCAGCACCCTGAACAATTTGGCTCAGTGGATAGAGCATCGGCCTGCAGACTGAAGGGTCCTGGGTTCGATTCCAGTGAAGAGCATGTACATTGGTTGCGGTCACATCCCCAGTGGGAGGTGTGCAGGAGGCAGCTGATAGATGTTTCTCTCTCATTGATGTTTCTAACTCTCTATCTCTCTCCCTTCCTCTCTGTAAAAAATCAATAAAATAAATATTTTTAAAAAATAGCACATCCCAGCTGTCATGGCTCAGTAGATGGACCTAGACTTATGAAACAGGAGGTCACAGTTTGATTCTGGTTAGGGCACATGCCTGGGGTTTCAGGCTGGATCCCCAGTGTGGGGCGTGCAGGAGGCAGCTGATCAATGATTCTCTCTCATCATTTATGTTTCTATCTCTCTCTCCCTCTTCCCTTCCCCTCTAAAATCAATAAAAATATTTTTTAAACAGCACTGAGATACCTACCTTTACCACTATGCTTCTCAGGAGAGTCCTAAGAAGGGAGCATTTCTTCTCTCTTCACTTTTTACTTAAAACTCACAAATTCACATGAGGAAATCAGGCAGCCTTATTTTACCACTTCACTTTCCCTTGGTCACCCTTTCTTCCTCTGGAGGATATAAGGTCTCAAGCACATTAGGCCCTCCTCTAAGAGAAAGAAGAGGATTATGATAATAAAACTGGGTTTAAAAGCTATCAGCACAGGTAGCTCATGCTGAGAAACTTGGCCAGCAATTATATTTGAATGCCACTGGCTTACAGAGAATAAGTATGCCAGGAGAGCTAAGAGTTTATTTTCAAGGCTCTCCCAGGTCACACAGTGAAGTCTCAGTAACTTTTTCCTAACCAAGATGACTTACATTTTACTTAATCCAGATATCAAGAATGTTCTCCATTTTGGGGGTCTAATTCCGGGCTCTCTGCTTCTGGAAGTTAGTCTATGAAAGGGTCTCTCCAGAGATAAGTGGCAGGAGAGGATATTGATTCCTTGGGCCTCCCACACTTCTTGTTACTCTAAATTTGAAAGGAGGGAGAATTATACAAACAAAAAGATGTTTGTGTAATTCTGTTTAGCTTCTTTCCCATCTTCTCTATTACTATAGTGATGAGGAAGAATATATGTCAGGTAGAACTATGTTCCCATCAAGTTCTGCAGATTAGCTTGTGTGATCCTGGATGTGTGATTTAATCTCTCTGAACCTTACTATCTTAACTGCAAATACAAGTATTATATATCCTTATAAGATTACTGTGAAGCTATAATGATGTAAAATATATAAATGAGACAATGAATGTAAAAGTTATTTCCCTCTCTCTTCCTAGCCTCTCCCCTTTCTCCTACCCCTCCCCCACCATCAGGGGTCATGGCTGGAGAACTGATGAGGGATTGAAATGACTGGAAAGGAACATGAGAGAGAGAAATAACTCCTTATCAGTTGGTTTAGAATACACCAAATGCTCCTGCTTGAGGCTAATGAAGGGACTGAAGGAACAAAAATTAAAACTAAGGCTATATTTTATTCCTAAATCCCTCCCTGTTTGCTTATGGGGCCATTTTTCATACTGTCCTCATAGCCTGGAGTTTCTCAGAACAATCTTGGAGCAAGAGGATGTAGCCAGAACCGGGTGTGAGCTGACTATTTTTCCCTTCTGCCCTCGGGAGGGAGATGTTCCTTATGAATGAGCACTTCCTCTTGGAGAGCTGTGCTGTGAAATTAGGAGTGTGGCCGGGAGAGCTCAGCCAAACCTTGGATGACGCTTCCTATAGAAACAAGAATTCTTTTTGTTTTGTTTTGTTTTTTAATGTTTTTTATTGATTTCAGAAAGAGGAAGGGAGAGGGAGAAAAAGATGATGAGAGAGAATCATGGATGGGCTACCTCCTGCACACCCCCTACTGGGGATCGAGCCTACAGTCCAGGCATGTTTCCTGATCAGAATCAAACCATGATCTCCTTCCTGGTTCATAGGTCGATACTTAGAACTACTGAGTCACGCTGGCCAGGCCAAGGAATCTCTTTTCAAATGGACATTTGAGAGGGTTTAGGATTATGTTCCTCAGGAATCATATGTTCAGAAAAAGATGTTTTGGAAAAGCTATGTTTGGAATCAGACAGCAGACCCCAGCTCTGAGAGTTCTAAAATTGGTCACAACAGCTACAAAGTCCTGAGTGGCTAATGGGGTGGGGTGTGCAGTGAGTCTGCCCTGATAGGAGAGATTGCTATCCTGGGCTTGGTCTCCATACTGCTCAGCAACCTTGCTATTTATGTGAAATTTCTTTTATGATTAACATTGTTCCTTCCCTTTTCCTCCCCATCTCTGCCCTGCTGCCTTTCCCTGGGCCTCCCTTTTCTCTTCCCTTTTCCACATGCCTGTCTGCTGGTCCACAGCCTGTCCCAGCTCTGCAGACATCTCCGCAGCCTGTTCAGTTCTCTCCAGGCTCCTGTCCCCAAGTCCTTCTGCCAGTGTCTCCACCCCAGCAGTACAACATGGTATAAACTTCACTACCCCTTTTTGTCTTGTCCTTGTGTGGCCTGTGTCTCTGGGTATGTCTGGGTCAGTCTGTGACAACCTTGCAAAGCAGTTGTGCCTTTTTGGAGGGCCTTGTTGAAAGGTGTTTCTTCTTGTGGGGCCAGTATAGGCTGAAGTATACTCCTCTCTAGTGACCACATCACAGTAACTTAGCAATCAAACGAGGCCTAAATATAAGAAAGAGGAACACTGAGTCCTCTGAGTTATAGGAAGGGAAACACAACCAGATGTTGATCTAACTTGGGCTCGTCTTTTCCTTTAAAAATAAACACACACACACAACACAAAAAAATAAATAAATAAAAACACAATTGTAGACTTCTCTGGTCCCACTGGTAAAAACTTAAAATGTTCCCTTCTGTTACCATGTTATTTTACATATAAAGTAGCCTTTTCTAATGCATAACACTTGCTATTTAGTTTGTACCTTGACTACAAATCCTTTGAAGATCTGATTTGCCTCACAGTTGATAACTTCTTTCATGATATAGGAGGATTGGCTTCTTTTATTTCATGTTAATCACACCTGTCTGCTTTTTCACTAGAATCCCCTCTTGTCTCCTACCTCTTATCTCTATTCTGAAAAGTTCTAGAATATGGACCTAAAAATAATCAGCAATCCAGTACTCTTGTCATCTGTTTCTGCCCATTAAAGTAGTAAAATAGCTAACTTAAAGATCAGATCCCTGAAAATTGAGTGAAATCACAGGAAAGCATTACCTTTTGTACCTCCTAGGGTTTTGTTGTTGTTGTTGTTGTTGTTGTGTGTGTGTGTGTGTGTGTGTGTTGTTTTTTGGGTTTTGGTTCTTTTTGTAAAAGAACTCCTCGCATGTGTATGTGTTTGTGTGTCAGTTACTGTCCAGGGAGTAGAAAGGACAAAGAAGCTAACAAACTAACCTATTGCCGTACAAGTGAGAGATGAAACACCATCACTCTTGCTGCTTAGAGGAAAGGGCTGAGAGAGAAGGCAATTACAGACTAGCCAGTCAGTCTCACCCTCCAGCTCAGTTACTCACCCTGGCCTCCTTTCAGAGGTGAGAATTAGAAGTGGTTTCTGAAGGGCAGGAGAACTCCAGGCAAGTATCAGAGAACGTAGGTGGAAATGACCTTGAGAGGGAGTAAGGAGATAAGCCTCAGGAGCGGGAGTCCATCACTCTTTCCGTTGCATAGGCAGAGCCGGGGAGCCGCATGAACTGAGCCACCCATAATCCATTCAAGGTGTTATCTTGGTCCTTTATTACAAAAACAGGATTTTTGGCAACATAGGGCACTTTGTGTGGTTGGAAGACAGTTAACGGAAAGGCTTATAGTCTTTTTTTTTTTTTAATATATTTTATTGATTTTTTACAGAGAGGAAGAGAGAGGGATAGAGAGCTAGAAACATCAATGAGAGAGAAACATCGATCAGCTGCCTCCTGCACACTGCCCACCGGGGATGTGCCCGCAACCGATGTACATGCCCTTGACCGGAATCAAACCTGGGACCTTTCAGCCCACAGACCGACGCTCTATCCACTGAGCCAAACTGGTTTTGGTGCTTATAGTCTTTTTTTTTTTTTTTTTTTTTTAAACCCACTAGTTTGTCCTGTTTTTCTATATATAGAAGTTGTGTCATTGTTCCCATCTCCCCAGGACAAATTCTAATAAAAATCATAATCAGAGTGGCCATTGTTACCTCACATGTGGTAAGGAGGCTGGCCTCCCAGGGCAGAGACAGGAGTGTCTCACATTTGGTGTAGGTAAGGAAGGCTGTAGATGCGGGTGTCTGTGTTGAAGCTGAGAACATGGGGCTTGACACCACATCAGTCCTTGAGTCTCCACTACTTTTTCAACAGGTAGATGACCTCAGCAATCCCTTTGGACAGATGAGCCTTAACCGCCAAGGTTCTACTGAAGCAGCTGACCCATCTGCAGCTCTGTTCCAGCCCTCACTTATCTCCCAGCACTCTCAGCAGACTAGCTTCATCATGGCTTCCACAGGACAGCCCCTCCCCACTTCCAACTATTCCACCTCTAGCCATGCAACACCTACTCAGCAAGTCCTGCCACCCCAGGGCTATATGCAGCCTCCTCAGCAAGTGAGTGCTCTGGTTCCCAGCTTAAATCACTAATTCAGTTTGTCCAGTATTATATTCTTCTTTCTTGCTCTGATTTAGACAGACCAGGTGGGATACCTATTCCTCACCTCCATTTCCCACTAGTTGTCTTTTTAGTTAGAAGGTTTCTTTCTACATGACACAAGTCCTTCCTGCTCTTTTTCAAATTTGTATAACAATGCTGCAATTGCAGACCCAAATATCTTTATTTACAGATTTTTGGCCATCAACCCTGATTGATAGTTTGGGGACCTTCTCACACATGTCTTTCCTCTTACCATAGATCCAGGTTTCTTACTATCCCCCTGGACAGTATCCTAACTCCAACCAGCAATATCGACCTCTCTCTCACCCGGTGGCCTACAGCCCCCAACGTGGTCAACAGTTGCCTCAGCCATCCCAACAGCCTGGTAAGGGGAACTGCTGGAGTAAGAAGACAGTGAGTAGGGGAAGGGCAGAGACTGGGAAAGAATTACCATCCCTGTTTTTTAAAAAAAGGCAGGAATGATTAGATTCCTGAAGAGGTACTCAGGATCTCGAGAAAAAGAAAGGCAAAATAGACAGGTGAAGAAAAATTGCTGATAGAGTGTGACCTCCTAAACATTGTTCAGACCATGCTGATGTCTTCTCTTCCTTGTCTATCCCCAGGTTTACAGCCCATGATGCCTAACCAGCAGCAGGCGACTTACCAAGGCATGATAGGGGTCCAGCAACCACAGAACCAGGGCCTGCTCAGCAACCAGAGGAGTGGCATGGGGGGCCAGATGCAAGGCCTGGTGGTTCAGTATACTCCACTGCCTTCTTACCAAGTGGGTGCATTTTGTATTGGGAAAGGTCACCCAGTCCTTGGGATCAGGGAAAGGAGGACAGCCTCCCACGTCATCTAGTCTGACAACTCTAACATAAAATACTGTTCACTTTGCCCCTTAAAATTTTAGGTTTTATTCCCTCTGAGAGAAAGCCCAGAGAATCTGAGAAGAGTGTTTATTTAAATTGTTTGGTCTTTATACAGTCATGCAAATGAGTACATGCCCAGAAAAGTAGGCTCTAAAGGAAAGCAGGCTCCTTTCTCTACATCAGATGCTCAAGAGTGGTATTTGGAGAAGAGAGAAATGGAGGTAGCTCTGTGAGCATTTTCTTTAGGTAGATGAGCCGAATAGGAGGAGTCTCTGAGAGCTAGAGAGGAAGTTAGAGTGCCTTTGTCTGTTCTTAGATGAACTCATCGGGTGTGAGAGTGGTCATTCTCTTCTCATCTCCACTCAGGTCCCAGTGGGTAATGACTCACAAAATGTAGTCCAGCCGCCTTTCCAGCAACCCATGCTGGTCCCTGCAAGCCAGTCTGTGCAAGGGGGTCTCCCGGCAGGGGGTGTGCCAGTGTACTACAGCATGATCCCTGCGGCTCAGCAGAACGGTACAAGGTAAGCACTGCCCCAGAATCCAGACACATCTCCCATAGACCTTCAGCCATGGTTGCACCATGCTTTTGTTTTCACTGACCTAAGAAAATAAAGGCAGGAGTAGAGATCCCAGTAGTGCCTTAAAGCTGGTAGAATATGAGTGAGTTCATTCTCCTTTTGTCCTCATTGATTTGCCATATCCATAAGAGCTCATTAGCAAAAAAATTCCTTCTTCAGAGATTGAGGCGTTATAATTTCCCATTTTTAATTTTTCTAATAAGTGAGATTCAGAACTATGGGATAGAGATTGCTCATCATTAAAATAAGCAATTTGGAGAACACACACACACATATAGATAATTTTCTGTATACCTCTGTTTATATCCATGGATGAATCTCACATAGTCTATTTATATGTATTTTGGATAGATCATAGCTGATTATAATTTTAAAGTACCTTAGAAATATCTAGTCTACTTCCCTTGTTATATTTTTCTCCCTTTTTTTTTTTTAAATATATTTCATTGATTTTTTTACAGAAAGGGATAGAGAGTTAGAAACACCAGTGAGAGAGAAACATGAATCAGCTGCCTCCTGCATACCCCCCACTAGGGATGTGCCCGCAACCAAGGTACATGCCCTTACCCAGAATCAGACCCTTGAGTCTGCAGGCCAATGCTCTATCCACTGAGCCAAACCATTCAGGGCTATTTTTCTTCCTTTTAAAAAAATACTGTTTTATTGATTTCAGAGAAGGGAGAGGGAGAGACTGAAACATCAATAATGAGAGAATCATTGATCAGCTGCCTCCTGCACACCCCACTCTGGGGATTGAGCCCAAAGCCTGTGCCGTGACCAGGAACTGAACCTCAACCTTCCAGTTCATAGGTTGACGCTCAACCCATGATGCACACCAGTTGGGCTCTCACTTTTTTTAATAAATGAAGAAGTTCTAGCTAGGGATATTAAGGAACTTACCCAAAGTCATACAACTAGTTAAAAGCAGAGCTGGAACTAGAACTCAAGTCTGGGCCTACTTGCAGGTATTTCTGTGTGTCTCTCTCAGTGTGTATATGTTTATGTCTTTTTAAATTCTTTTTTTTAATTTAAAAATATATATATATTATTGATTTTTAACAGAGAGGAAGGGAGAGAGATAGAGAGCTAGAAACGTCGATGAGAGAGAAACATCGGCCAGCTGCCTCTTGCACACCCCCTATCAGGGATGTGCCCGCAACCAATGTACATGCCCTAGCCCTTGACCGGAATCGAACCTGGGACCTTTCAGTCCGCAGACCGACGCTCTACCACTGAGCCAAAGCGGCTTCGGCTGTTTATGTCTTTTTAAATGTACTAGAGGCTCAGTGCACAAAATTCATGCCTGAAGGGGGTCCCTCAGCCCAGCCTACAATGTCAGCATCCTGGCCTCTGGCCAGAGGCCCATCCCTCCACACTGCCAGGGTGTGGGACTATGGGCTCACATCACCCCTACAAGTCCCTCCCTCCCTCCATGTGACCAGGATGCAGGACACTATAGGGACCACCATCTTTATGATGGCATGACAATTAACTTGCATATCACCCTTTTATTAGATAGGTTGTCTCCTGTTGTCTTGAGTTTTGTTGAGGTTTTTCCCCGTTTGTCTTTAGGTGACTATCTGTGTTTGCCATTGTGTAAATATCCTCAATCATACATGTCTGCAGTTCTTTCATACCCATCTCTCTTGCACTGTATATCTGTCTCTGGAACTCTTTTTGTGTGTCTATTATGTTTCTCAGAGTGTGTGTGTATTTGTGTTATGTGCATGTATGCGCATGTATGTATCTGGTGTTTTCACACTGTTGGGAAGAGCGTGTGTTACTGACATGCCATCTGTAGCACTGATTAGCAGCTTCCTAATTGAAAGATGATCAAGTACAAATATATATAATTAACTTTGAACTGATTAGTGATTTTAGAAATTGCATGGCAAATTGGTTTGGGAATGGCTTGGAGCTGCTTCTGCTTTCCACAGGGGAGGCCCAGGCAGCAACAGCTGTTTGTCATGAGCTGTGTTCCTCCCTCTCTTCTGTATTTTCCCAGCCCTTCTGTGGGATTTCTACAGCCTCCTGGCTCTGAGCAGTACCAGATGCCTCAGTCTCCCTCTCCTTGCAGCCCACCACAGATGCCACAGCAGTTCTCAGGTAAGATGATAAAAATTGCTGCGGCTTGAGAGCTTGAGGGGAGGCGGAGGGGGGAGTGGTCTTGGGCACTGGCAAAAGCAGATGCTGCTCTAGATCTGGGAAGAGTAGAGAGAGCGTTCAAGGATAGTGTGACCCCATCAGGAAGAAAGACCAAATCCCGGCTGGTGTTTTTCAGGGGTGCTGAAGTTGACCTCTCAAGAAAGGTGAGGTGGTTGCCCCGTCCCCATCCCTGGGCAGCCATATGTCTGATTGGGTTCATTGTTCTTTCCTTCGTATATTTTGTTTTCCTTTTCTGAATTCACCATTACATTTACCACATGCGTTTGAGACATGAAGTGCTTACCTCTCTCCTGCACTTACTCTTCCTATGACAGCTTTTTTTTTTTTTTTTCCCCTCTTGGCAGTGTGAGCAAGATTGGTAAATGCTTTTTAAGTCTTATCTTAGATTTGTTTAGCACTTCGTTGTATGTGATCACATACATTTTATCATTTTAATTCTTACTACAACTTCATGAAGGGGAATTTAAGCCTGAAAGGATAAATGACTTGCCTAAAGTCACAATCCTAGAACTTGAATTTTGGTCTATTTTCAACAGACTTCTGTACTCTATTCCTTTCCCTCCAGTGGGAAGAAAATAGATATTGTGTTAACAGCTAAAGGCCCTCTTTTTCTTTTTAATATATTTTTATTGATATCAGAGAGGAAGGGAGAGGGAAAGAGAAATAGAAACATCAATGATGAGAGAGAATCATTTTTGGCTGCCTCCTGCACACCCACTACTTGGGATAGAGCCCTAACAATTTCCGGTGAGACATATGCCCTCACCAGAAATCGAACCGTGATCTCCTGGTTCATAGGTCGATGCTCAACCACTGAGCCACACACTGGCTAGGTCCCTCTTTGAAGGGACCCACTCTCCCAAGTGAATAAGCTTATGTCATGCAGCCTTTCACTGTCTGGCTTGGCCAAGAACTCCCCCAGTACACCAAGTGCAGCTGTCCTTGTTTCCTTCCCTTTCACCCCACCCTAACATAGTTTTACACTGCAGTTGAAGCTTCAGGGGTTCTGGAAGGCAGGAGGGGTCTTAATGTACTTAGATTGTGGGAATATCAGAGTGCCCTCTGCTGGGGAGAGGGAGGTATTTTTGCCAATTTCTCCATTTGGAAATGTACTACTTTTCACATAAGATGTTTTATACTCATGTTAGATTCTGGAGAGTGGATTCCAGAATTAATTTTGCTCATAAGACAGAATTAGGTGTTACCTTCAAGGAGCAATCACTTCTTCCAGACCAAACATGGATGTCTCACAGGCTGAGAGATTTTAAATTCAAAAGCCCTGCCCTAGCCTGTTTGGCTCAGTGGGTAGAACATTGGCCTGCAAACTGAAAGGCCCCAGGTTCAACTCCAGTCAAAGACATATGCCCAGGTAGTGGGCTCGATCCCCAGTTAGGGGACTTGTAGGGGACAGCCAATCCATGATTCTCTCCCATCATGGATGTTTCTCTCTCTATATATATATATATATATATCTCTCTCTCTCTCTCTCTCTTTCTCTCTCTCTCTCTCTCTTCCTCTGAAATAAATAAATAAAAATAAATAAATTCAACATCCCTTATCTTTTATTATATTACTAGAAGACTGGTGCACGAATTCATGCAACAGTGGGGCCCTCTGTCTGGCCTGCGGGATCAAGCCGAAACAGGTTCTCTGACATCCCCTGAGGTGTCCCGGATTGCGAGAGGGTGCAGGCCAGGCTAAAGGACCCCACCAGTGCACAATTGAACCCAGGAAGTGACCAAGGGAGGGCTCCAGGGTGTGTCAGGCCCATCTCTCTCAGTTCCTATGGACCCCAGCAGCAAGCTAACCTACCCGTATGAGCGTCTGCCCCCTGGTGATCAGTGCATGTCATAGCAAGCAGTTGAGCAGCCTTAACATATCATTAGCATATTATACTTCGATTGCTTGAATGGATGACCAGACACTTAGCATATTAGGTTTTTATTATATAGAATTAGTCTCTCTAGCTGTTTCTCCTAGTGTCCCCCAGGAGCACTTGACCTTGACATACCCATCAGGGTATGGAAATTTTAGACACTAGCTCCAAGAACCAATGTAGCCTTTGATGGTGCTTGATACCACACAGCATTTCCTCTTTTATTTGGTAAAAGTAAATGTGTACATATGTATATACTATCCTTATGGTGTATCAGTATATCTGTTGGGTCTCTGATTATATATCTGTTCATCTTCAAATATAAGGTCTTGGAATATGAAACAAACCAAGTGCAAAAAATTTTCATTACCTCCTCTGGACCTGGTGCTGGGTAAAATAAACTGAAACAGCTATTCTGAAAGTTGGCAGCACTTAAGAGATCTGGGCTGGGATTGGACGGAGGTAATCAGGCTCTTCCCTAATTAATAGAAATGGAGGAAACCCATTTTATTGTCTAGTTCCCTTGCTTTTCAGAATTTTCTGTTATAATTCCTTTCTTCCCTGCTTGATCCTGGCCTTCTGGATTTTCCTAGATGATAGGACCCACTGTTCACCCACATCTAAGAGACCATATCCACAACACCACTGATTTTAAAAGTCTCAATCCCTGCTCATAAAAACCTAAGAGGAAGTAGAAGAAAAGTACCTCTTCTGTCTTCCTTTCCATTTTACCCTTTACTGGGGAGCTAGAAGACCTGCATAGTCCACAAGGGCTCTGTGTCACCTTCAGAGGACAATTACCCGCCCTTCTCCCATGAAGCAACATGGTCACTTTTCCAAAAATAAAGACAGGGATTAGGGTTGACTGTTCCTGGAACAACTGTTCTGGTTTATTAATACATTTTTGTAGTTGCCCAATTTACCCCCAGGCCTGGATCTTAATTCCTCCACTGTGATCTTAGACATAACTATAACCCCAGGAATCAACTTATTTTCCACTAAAATGATGGCTTGCAAGTCTCTTAAGGTTTCTACAGAAATGCTGGTCTGGGGAAGATGCACACAGACATAAAATGGCAGTGAAACGTGTACCCAGACTCCCACCTCACAGCAGTGTAGCCAGCGTGAGGCACATACAGACATAGCCTCTCACATACTTACTGGCTCGTTTTGTGGCTGAGAGGTTACCTCAGGCTGAGACTGTTTTCTCTCTCACTCCCTGAAGAAATCCCTCTGCCCCACAAAAAAAAAAAAAAAAACACACAAAAACAAAAAAACAAAAAACCCAGATACTATTGTATTCTATTCTGTAATTTGGAAAGATGCTATGGATTTTATTTCTCTCACCATTCCTGTCCATAGATTTGATTCCTTGTCAGGCTTCTTCCTCAGTGATTTTTAAAAAAAAACAACTAAACAAAAACCAATTCTGCCAGACATAAATGTCATCTGTTTGTATTTATGTGGTTTGCTCTGTCCAATCGACCTTTCTGCCCAGGTTTAATGATGCCACTTAAAGAGCCATTCACACGTCCCCTCTCCTTTCAGAGCTTTCAAGCAAAAATTGATTTCCTTATTCAACACTCTTCTCCCCTTCTCCCCCTTCCTACTCCAACCCCGGCTTCATCCTCCAATCTGATTATATAGAAGTGCTATCACTGGGCCATGAGGTGGGGTGGGGTTTTTTGTGGGGGAGGGGCTTGCAAGGGGGATATTATTGCCATGTCCATTAAGAAAGTAGCGACAGTTCAGCGGCTAACGGATGCCACTTGCTTTGGGCTTGAGAAAGAGAAGCATAAAAATCAGCTCATCAGCCAAGTAGTGTTCTGTGTCCTCGGCTGAGTGAAGGAACAATGCTGCAGGCCAGCAGGGAAGGAGGAGAAAGACTCATTGTGGGGAAGGCTGAAGCTGTGACTGATCATCCTAGCTGTGTTTTTGTTGGAATTCAGAGAAAATAATACCAGGACTTTGTTCTCTTTTCCCCTCCCATTGAGCTTCCTAATAGCTCCTATGGCTACATGTTGCAATTAGAAAGAGCTTTCACCACCTTGTACATGCTCACATCCTGCACACTCACACATCCTCCATTCTTTCCTAGCCCAGGGCACTAGGTTCAGATTATGAACTGCCTTCCAGAAAAGCTGTAGATTTGATTATTTTTACCTTGGCCCCCTCAGGTAGCAATGAGATGTTTGAATAAGGTCAATTGCAATTTTGTTGGTAGAAGATGTTGGAGCAGGTGGGGCTTTTAGGATGGGGAAATGAAATGCCCAAAGCAACTAGAGTAAGGGAGGAGTTTTTAAATGTATGACATTCCGCCGCTGTGCAGTTTTCCTGTGGTTCTACAAGACTTGCTGATGACCCTGTCCCACTTGGCAAGAGATGGGAGGTGCCAGCTGAGAGTATCTGTGCTCTTTGATTAGATGAACCCTGGGCAGGGGGCACAAATTGACTGGGGAATAGGATACAACAGATGCTGTGTCTCCTGAACTGCTCTCAGGCCTCCTGCTGTTTCTTTTCCTTTCCTTTGACCGGTGATACCTGAGAAAAGCAATCACACTTACTTCCCAGCAGGACTGGTGCCCAGGGCAGAGGCTGCAACATTTCCCATCACAGAAAGCAATGTGATGGCAATGGCAGTAGCAGCCCCAGAGCACCGAGCCATGACAACTGAAGCATTGCAGCAGGTTTTTGAGTTAGCAAGCCCCAGTCCATTTCTCTACCACCACACACACATGGACTCAGCCTGTCTTCTACAGGAATATATCCGGGAAGGTCAAGAGCAAACCCTCACAGTGGACAATTCCTCCAGGAGAAGCAGAGCTCTTGCCCGTACCTCCCAGCAGGGACTGTCTATCAAATTGCTTCTTGACCCCTTACCCTGCTTTTCACCATGAGGAAGATTCAGGACTTAATGTTCCTCCTCGTTGAGCCCTTTCCTTCCGAAGCTCAGCCTGTGAGGAGGTTAGGCTGTCCATGGTTGTCTGTGCTAAAACCTCAGGATCACATCCCATCAGTCACCTGAACCTGTCAGTGAAACCCCTTTAGAGAGGATCTGACCCTCCCACTCTATTCCTGCTGTCACTGCCTGATTCCAAACCATCTCATTTGGTTTGCAGAGGTCCCCAACTAGTCTTCCTGCCACTAGTCTCTCCCTCCTTTAGCCATCTTACATTCAGCCACTTGAGTTAGCTCTCTGAAGCACAGGTCCTATGCCCAACCCCTACAGGATAAAGACCCTCACCAGAATGTGCTTTAAGCTCTTAACTCTCTGGCTCCCTAATAGACTGTTCATTCTGTGAGAGCAGGAACCAGTTTTTTGTTTGCTTGTTTTATTGTTGTTAATCCTTACCTGGGGATATTTTTTCCATTGATTTTTAGAGAGAGTGGAAGGGAGAGGGAAAGACAGAGAGAGAAAAGCATACATATGAGACAGACACATCGATTGGTTGCTTCCCACATGCCCTGACCAGGGCTGAGGATCAAGCCTGCAACCAAGGTACCTGCCCTTGGCTAGAATAGAACCTGGAACCCTTCAGTCTACAGGCCAATGCTCTAACCAGCTAGGACCAGGAACCCAAATTTGCTATACATCCCGTGCCAAGCATAGCAACATAGGTAAATGTTCAATAAATGTTTGCTGAATAAATAAACGTATCTCAACTCCTACTGCTTCCCCTACATAGCCCTGGTATCTCAGCATTTTGAATTGTTTGCCATTTCCTGAATATGATATACATCTCTGCTTGAAATGTTTCCAACTCACCCCACCCTTGCCCAAAAAGTACCTCTTGGGTCTGGCTTAGTAAAGCTATGTGCATTTATATTCTCCAGAGCAACCAGAGATTGCTGGCTTATCTACAGCTATTACCAGAAAAGCCTGCACATGCCTACAGCTCTGGCCCAAGAGCCAGACTGGCACCGGTACTTTGCCCAGACATTTGAGCAGTCTAACTTGGGTATTTGGTAATACCCAATCTTGATAGAATGATGCAGGTTTCTGCCCCTCACCAGGTAAAGACCAGGGAAACATTGGCATCTGGGACTTATGTCCCTTTCACTCAAATTTCCACTGGTTTAGGGAGAAAGAGTCAGAAACCAAATCAGTAGCTACCTCAGATTCCTGGCAGGACACAGTTTAAGTGACCATGAAGAAAGTTGGTGGATTTGTTTACTAGCTTTCCTGCTCAGGATAAGCTGACAGGCCAAAATAGAGTTTGAATTCAGAACCATCTGCTTTCTTACTCCACTCAGGAGTTTCACCTTCTGGACCAGGTGTGGTGGTCATGCAGCTGAATGTCCCTAATGGACCCCAGTCTCCCCAGAACCCATCCATGGTCCAGTGGAGTCACTGTAAATACTACAGCATGGACCAGCGGGGGCAGAAACCTGGAGACCTGTACAACCCTGACAGTAGCCCGCAGGTGAGTCCTGGCAAGGAGTTGACCAGATTCTTCTCAAGGAGCAATCTTAGTCACTGACTGAGCAATCTCTTTTTTGAGGAAAAACACAAGACAGAGAAGAGCATCTTATTTCAAAGTACCTAGGATCTAAGATGGCAGATGGGACACATACTTGAAAATGCTAAGAGAATACTTAAAATGGTATTTCAGAAGTGAATATTAAAACAATACATACTAATTAGGGACTAAGGGGGCAGTTTGAAAGAGCCACCTGACTTTGGCGGAGTACACCAAGAGAAGTTTCCTGAGGCAAGTTGAATTTAAGCCAAGCCATAGAAATAACGTCAAAGAGTAATGTTTAGTGTTTATGTGATGTGTGCTCTTTTCTCCCACAGGCCAACACACAAATGAGTAGCAGCCCCGTCACGTCTCCTACCCAGTCTCCAGCACCCTCTCCTGTCACCGGCCTCAGCAGTGTCTGCACAGGACTCAGTCCCCTTCCCGTCCTTACACAGTTCCCCCGGCCCGGGGGTCCAGCACAAGGTAAGGGGTCAGATTAGGGCTGACGGCATCAGATTTCCCCTTCACATCCCATTCCCAAGTGGGGAGATTGAGAGGGTAACAACAGGCAGGGAGCCAGTATGCCTGGTCATCCAACTCGAAGCCAACTCTCTTTTTTTGTTGTTATTTATAATCATCACCAAAGGATATTTGTATTGATTTGAGAGAGAGACAGAGAGCAAGCAACATCAATGCAAGAGAGAAACATCCATTGGCTGCCTCCTGCATGTTCCCCGACAGGAATCAGACCCACAGCCCTTGGGTATACAAGACGACACTCCAACCAACCAAGCCACCGGCCAGGGCAAGCCAACTCTTATTTTAACATTCCTATTTAGACCAGGACACTTGCCCTCTTTATTTTATTTTTTAAATATGTTTTTATTTTCAGAAAGGAGAGGGAGAGAGAGACAGAAACACCCATGAAGAGAGAGAATCATGGATCAGCTGCCTCTTGCAAGTTCCCCATTGGGGATCTAGCCCATAACCCAGGCATGTGCCCTTGACCAGAATCGAACCTGGGATCTTTCAGTTCTCAGGCTGACACTCTAGCCACTGAGCCAAACCAGCTAGGGCTTGCCCCTCTTTAAAGATGCCCCTGTTAACTTACATATTTAGTAGTTACACCAAGTAAGGTGACTGTGAGCCAGAGAATAGAAGTTCACTGACCTTTCTTTTTCTTTTTTAAATATGTTTTTTATTAATTTTTAGAGAGTGAGAGAATTTTCTATGTGAGAGAGAATCATTGATCAGCTTCCTTCTGCATGCCCCATACTAGGGCTTGAGCCTGTAATCCAGGCATGTGCCCTGATGGGGAATCAAACCTGTGATCTCTTGGTGCATGGGATGACGCTCAACCAACTGAGCCATACTAGCTCACTGAACTTTCTAATGAACGAAAGAGTCTGAGGCCTGGGAATATGGGCTGTGTCAGACATAGCATGGTTTAGAAGAGGGAATGCTTGGTTTGAGTTGAAAGACTTGGCTACATATTCAAGTAGCTTTGTGATGTTGAACATGTTACTTAAACTTGGAGCCAAACTTCAGTTTTCTAATCCATAGAATAGGCTTAATCCCAAATATGATGGGAATAATCTTATCTGCTTCCTGCCTTGGTGGTCACAAACAGTATAAAAATAAGATGAGAATATAATTTAAAAACTTTAAAGTGCTCTGAAATAATAGCTACCAACAATAATATCTAATACTAATAGTGCTTAGTATGTATCAAGCATTGTTGTAAGTGCTTTACATATCTTATATTTAACCTTTCCAACAATACTAATGAAGGGAAAACATATCCAACATCCCATTTTCAGTAACAGAGCCAGAATCTGAACTGAGGCAGGCTGGCTCCAAGTCTGTACTCTTGCCTGCTACACTGGATGCTGACATGAGACAGAAAATTTATCCCTGGATAAGGGGTGGGAGAATCTATATGAGAAATGAAAAACATGACCTGGCTGTTTGGGCTTAGTGGATTGAGTGTCAGCCTGAGGACTGAAGGGTTGCAGGTTCATTTCCAGTCAAGGGCACATGCTAGGGTTGCATACTCGATCCCCCTTCCATACTAGGTATCTAGACCTCTCAGGATTTCTCCTATTTGGAGAAATCTCCTAGTTGGCGCATGCAGGAGGCAGCCAGTCAGTGATTTCTCTCATCATTGATCTTTCTATCTCTCTCTCCCCCTCTCCCTCTCTGAAATCAATAAAAATATATATATTTTTTTAAAGGAAATGAAAAACATTCATAAGGGTCTGTAGGTTTCCTCCAGGACCTTTTGTCTGGAGTAGACAAAACCCTTGAAGGATGATGGAACCTAATAGCCCCATTTGTCTGAGATACAGCTGAGACCCAAGCGATTTAGGAAGAGAGACAACTCTTAAATCAGTCATATGGGCACTCCTGTAATAGAAAAAGTAGAAACAGTATCTATCTTCAAAGTCCCCTGAAATCTCATAAAAATCATACCATAAAGTTCAAACTTCCAGAAAACTATCTGTTCTTCCTTCCTAGGTGATGGGCGCTACTCTCTCTTGGGCCAGCCATTACAGTATAATCTGTCCATCTGCCCTCCTTTGCTCCATGGCCAGTCGACTTACACAGTGCACCAGGTAAGGATGTCCCCATCAGCCTTAGGACCATCAGACACCCCTTCTCATCCAGGCCCCTATCTCTGAGCCATCCACCTCAACCAGCAGGGTAGACAAGGGAGACAAAACAGAGAATGGACAGAGTAGGAGGAGCCCACTCCAGCACTCATTCTTCCCATCCCACTCCAGTGTCAAGGGTGAGGGCTCTCTTTGTTTCTCAGTGGCCACTTGCTGGCCAATCTGACTACCTGGTGAGATGGGGTCCTCAGGTTTGGGTGCCGCTGCTTAATCTCTCAGACAGACATTGGGATGCAAGGCAATCAGTGTTATCTACCCAGGATGAGCTTGCTCTTTCCGTGTTGAAGGGACAGAGTGGATTGAAGCATGGAAACCGGAGTAAGAGACAAGCTCTCAAATCTGCCTCCACTGACCTGGGGACAACGGATGTCGGTGAGTGATAGGATGCTGAATCCCCAAGAGAATGTGCTCACCCCTCCAGGCCTATGTTAGCCCAGGATGGCTAGGGAAAGCCAGTTTAGGGAGGAGAGTGGAAATTAGAGCCCTTTGTACTAAGAATAAGGAGAAGCTAGAGAAGTGAAGTATTTTTGTTCTCCTTACCAAACTATTCCAGGTCCTGGGAAAATGATAGTAAAAATTGGGAATAACACAATGCTGGGGGTTGTTGAGCCTATTATTAACCAAGAGTCTTCTGGGAGTGGTCCTGAATTTAATCTAGGATGTCTACGTTCAGTGGTCCTATACCAAATTGAAGAGAAGATTGACAAGAAAATATTTGGGAGTGGGGGGGAGTGACTCTCCTCCTGCAGGCCTTCCATACTAGGTATCCAGACCTCTCCGGATTTCTCCTATTTGGAGCAGTTGGCCAAAAAAGTAAAGGAGGGAAACTGACTTCCCTAGGTGATAATAGAGGACTCTGACTGGGCCAGCCTCTGGTAAGGGATCCTATTTGGCTATTGATTCTGTGAAAGAACATCAGCAAAAGCCATGCTTCCTGACAGCAACAGCTCCACGAGAAAACAGTCTCTTCTTCCCACCTCTTGACTGAAGAAGTTTGCTAGTTCCTTCTAGTTGCCTTGATCAGGACGGTGGGGAATTGGGTTGACTGGAGGAGGAAAGAGCTAAGTGGGAAAAGCTGGGCTTTTGAGGACATTGTGTGTAGACTTGGTCCACTAAATACTTCTCTGCTGGGTCGCTGTGCAGCCCTCCTGTTCTAACGCTCTCACAATGTCCTCTTTCCTCCCTCTCCAGTCCTGGGGCGGGTGCTGGAGGTGACAGATCTTCCTGAGGGCATCACTCGTACGGAGGCGGACAAACTCTTCACTCAGCTCGCCATGTCCGGCGCCAAGATCCAGTGGCTCAAGGATGCTCGGAGGCTGCCTGCTGGGGGCGGGGGGGACAGTAGTGGGACTGCTGAGAATGGTCGCCATGCAGACCTTGCTGCCTTGTACACCATTGTGGCTGTGTTTCCCAGCCCCCTGGCTGCCCAAAACGCCTCCCTTCGCCTCAACAACTCCGTGAGTCGCTTCAAACTTCGAATGGCCAAAAAGAACTATGACCTGAGGATCCTGGAGCGAGCCAGCTCCCAATAAATCTGAGGGGAAAGGACTCGCACAGCAGGGGTGCGGGCAATGTGGACAACTCCCTGGCAGATCATGGACAGAGAGAGAAAAGAAGGCAACAGACACTAACCTGGAGCCTAAGACAGTAGGGATGAAGATAGAAACAGTCAGACACACTGGCACTGGACTCCTTACTCCCTGCCATGGGCCCCCTCTTTCCCTGGTTGGCCTCCCTCTGCTACCCCCTCCTTTTCAACCTCTTCCATCATTTTTTATCTCTCCTCCCACCATGAAATGAATTTCTCTCATATTTTTTGGTCAGGTAGAATTGGGAGGGTTCTATACTCCCTTTCCTCCTAATTTCCTTACCATCCCAAGCTCCCTTTTCATTTTTGGTCTTTATGAATATATTTATATGGAAAGAATTAAGAAAAATGAAATTGATTTCCCTTTCTTCTCACTTTTCCCATCTTGTCACCCCAAGCCCCACAAAGTTAAAACTTGGGCCTCCCCCTACCCCCCAGAACACTTGTATATTGTTTGTTTGAGGTTCGTGCCACAGTAACAGACAGTATTTAATTGCACATACAGATGTTTGCTAGGTATATTCACTGTAAATTTTATTTAATCTGATTTTTTGTTTGTTAGGGGGGTTACTGGGGGAAGGTTGATTTTGTTTTTAAATATATTAAAAAAAAATGTCAATTGGACATCAGTTCCTGTTTCTCTTTTGTTGCCCTGGAGTGGGTAAGGGTTGGAGGTCCTAGGCAGGTACAGCCGCACAGAGTGGAGTGATTCGATGTGGGTTTGGATGGCCTTTCTAGCATATGAACACTTATATTCTTAACACTATTTCCTGTGTCCCAACCTCCTCCTCACACATTAATTCTGTTAGGTGGCTGGGTTTCTACTGGGACCTTGGTTCTGAGCTCTCCCAACTCTGCCACTAACTTGGTTCATCAGGCATATCACTTCTCAACTCTGCAGCTCTGAGTCCTTATCAAGAGCCCAAGAGACTTGACTGGCTGGGTGACCTCTGAGGTTCCTTCCACTCTGTTCCTTCTGTGACACTCATTTAGGGTCCCTGAGGCTGAGCTGCAGAGGGGTAAGTGAGGTCCAGAACTGGGTTGAATGCTGGCCTCTTACCTGTCCATCCAGTCTGCTGAAAACTCTTCAGGGATGGAAGGCTTGGGCCTTACTTTAATCCTCAAGCCAGTCGATTGGGTTCTTCCTGGCAGGAACAGAGTAGATGTTTCTTACAATAAAAGTTACATCAGTTAAACTTGCAGTACCAAGACACCAGGTGTTTTCAGCCATCCCTGCTTTGCAGCTGAAGAAAGGTGAAGAGCCGAAGTCACCTGCCTGCAAGGTGAGCTTTTCCTCTGCAGCTTCTCAGAGCTAGTCTGTTGTTCAGCCTGTCAGACCAGTCATTAAAGAGCCCATATACCCAGAACAACCAGCAGCCCCTTTTCAATCTCGCCCACCCATTGAAGGAGCGGGGATGGAAATGACAAAGAACATTGCCCTGGAAGTCTCTTGGGTCTGGGGAGCAGTGTCTCTAGCTCGGCTCCTCCGAAGCTTGTCTAACCCAACCTTCAGCATAACCCTTCACTTGACAGATACAAGGGATAAAATGGCACTGTATTGTCACCTTCAAATTGCTATCCTCTGAGATGGCGGTATCTCCTTTTTCAGCCGCGTCACACAGGGCAGGAGAAGGCTGCCTGCCTGAGATAAGAATGCCTGATAACTCACTGACCCATCAGTTCATACACTGGGCCATCCGAGGAGGGAAATGAAATCGGAATCAAAATGACTGGGAGTGGGAAGCCTGGCATCCAACCACCTCCCAAGAGTTTGCAGTTCTCCTGGGGATATTACTTGCAGGTGATAAAAACTCCCCGGGTGGCAGCTATTATTGCCTGTGTCCATTGGTAGGCCTTCTGTACCTGATCACTCCCCCAAAGCCCCCCAACCTGGTTTTTTTAAAATAGAATTCCTTTCACCCTGAGGACAAGATTTTAGAGGAATAGGGGGAAGATGCCTCTGGGGACAGTTGGAGAAAACAGAGCAATACCACGTTCTTCACTTCCTGACAAGATGGCAGGAAGGTACCCCTCCAACTTCCCACAGAGAAGAAAGCAATGTAGTCTGTCCTATTGGAGAGTTCTAACAATTCAAAGTTTCCTTTCTTCGCTATTTCCCAGCCCTTTTCTTTCCAAAGGTTTGAGTTTAAATCTATGCTTGATGGTATAAAGACACATGGCGACAAGAAGAATGGCTAGGAAGTTCAAGGCCTAATTCCTGAAGCAGGTCCAGGGAGGGGAGAATTGGGGAGAATTTTGGAGAAAGGGGATTGGTTGGAAAGGCTGTTCATAATCAATCCTTACCTTCATTCATCTAAAATTATCCAAAGGAGTATACAGCATGAACACTGTCCCCTCCTGAATTTACCCAATACTGACCTGCACACCACAGATGAGAAACTAGGGAACAGCAACTCTGGGAGGTAGGAGGAGTTAGGGTCCAGTCCTGCCCAGGCCTTCCCCATATCCAATTTCTCTATGTCAGCTGTGTCACTCAGCTGTCCACTTCACTCCAGCCCTGTCATTCCAGCTCTGACACCGAGGCAAGAGGCTCGATCTACAAATACCGTCTGGGTGGCTGGTGTGAGTTCAGAGGGTACTGGGGGGGCTTAGCCCCCAAGGAAGAGGACCAGCCTTCCTCCAGTGCTACCGTCAAGACTGAATTAACAGGGAATCCCAAACGTGAGTTGCCTCTTCATCCTCTTTCCATTTCCAGGACTGCTCACCCCAGCCTCCCCAATCCGTAGTCTGTCCAACTTCATTTCTCTTCTTGTCTAGGAGTAGTTTAGGTTTTAGGAGTGAAATTATTCTACTCCAGGATAAAGAGCTAGGATTGGAGTGGGGTCAAGAGAAGGGAATAGAAAGGGAAGGAAAGGCTCATATTACTTGGAAAACTTAAAATAGCTGAGGCCTGAGGCAAGCTGGGAACTAGGCCCTAGGCCTCCGGGGCTCAAGGAAGTAGAGAACAAGTGCCCCAGCCCATCAGCCTCCAGATAAAAGGAGGTCTGGGGAGATGTGTGTCATCTCTCTACTGCCCATGGATTCCCAGGAGAAATGAAGTACCTGTTGGAAAATCCCTAAAGCAGGCAGTCTTGAGTACTGACTGTGTTGGGGCTACAAATTTGGGGGTTGCACTTCAGAGTGGAGGGATGGGTTTTGGTTTGAGGAACTAGTTGGGAAGTTCTTTAGTCTGTTGTGTTTTTCTCTGGATCTCCATGGAATTTTCCTATTCATAAGCTCTGTGAAAAGATTTCTAACCAAAGTTCTCCCAAAACCTCCCCTTCAAGGGCCACCCTACTAAAAGGGAAAGAAATAAGGGAGGGAGAATGGCAGTCAGGGATTAGATGTCATAGTGGGGTCCAACCTCTTGCAGGATGACAGAAAAGAAGGTGCTGGAGTCCCCTAAGCCCTCCCCAGCAGAGACTCGGCAAAGTGGGGTGAGTCAGGGCCTCTGACCACTGGGTGTGGGGAACTGGGAAGCCAGTGCAGCTCTTGAAGAAAAATGCTTGAATTGATCTCACTTGTATGCGACTCCTCTGTTGTTAGAATGCCTGCCAGCATCTGCAGCCCCAATACTCTTCCCCCTACCCCCACAATCCTGCCCCAAGCTAAGAAAAATGTCTAGTGAGCTTCAGCTTTATCTAGTCTAGAGAACATGACAATTCTTTTAACACTGGGTTTCCTTCATTCCTTCCTCCTTCCCAAACTTACCCCCATTCCCAGCTACAGCGGCTGAAGCAGTTATTCAGAAAGGAGTCTGCCGAGACCAAGGAGATGGAGCTTCCCCCAGAGCCCCAGGCTAATGGGGAGGCCGTGGGAGCTGGGGGTGGGCCCATCTACTACATCTATGAGGAAGAGGAGGAAGAAGAGGAGGAGGAGGAGGAGCCACCCCCAGAACCTCCTAAGCTTGTCAATGATAAGCCCCACAAATTCAAAGATCATTTCTTCAAGAAGCCCAAATTCTGTGATGTCTGTGCCCGGATGATTGTGCGTGAGTCATGAAGGGAAGGAGAAAGCATGTGATGTTGAAGGCAGGGGACTGGGAAAGGGCTTAGCAGAGGAGTGTTGGTATAGCAGATAAGCTGTGGCAAGATATGGCTTTAAGGAAATACGGTTAGAGACAGCATGTGGGAAGGAAGGAGGCACTATAGTAGCAGCGATGGTACAAAGGGTACGGGAAGCAGCAACCTCACCCAAATGTTCTCCCCTCTCCCAAGTCAACAACAAATTTGGGCTTCGCTGCAAGAACTGCAAAACCAACATCCACGAACACTGTCAGTCCTATGTGGAGATGCAGAGATGCTTCGGCAAGATTGTGAGTAGGCTTCGGGGAACAAGAAAATAGAGGGAGCATGTTTCCAGCCACACCCCTGCCAGCCTCTCCTCAGACCAACCCTCCATGTCCCTCCTTTTTCTTTTTTATTGGTTTCAGAGAGGAAAGGAGAGGGAGGGAGAGAGAAACATCCATGCTGAGAGAGAATCATGAATCGCTGCCTCCTGCACGCCCCCTACCAGGGACCAAGCCTACAACCCAGGCATGTGCCCTTGACTGGGAATCAAACCTGGGACCCTTCAGTCCACAGGCCCATGCTCTATCCACTGAGCCAAACCGGCCAGAGCTCCCTGCTTTTTCTTTCTCAGCTCATCTCTTACTTCAAAAAGGGGTGAGCACTCATGGGAGAGATGGGGTTCTGGGTCCTGCCTTGCTCTTTCTGATGCTTTCCATCCTACCCCACAGCCCCCGGGTTTTCATCGGGCCTACAGCTCCCCACTCTACAGCAACCAGCAGTACGCTAGTGTCTGTAAGTGACTCACATGGAACCGGAGGGAATGGGCAAGTTTAGAGATAGTTTCAGCACACCTCTAGATTTAGAAACTAAATTCTGAAACAGAAAGATTCTCCATCCCATGGTTCTCTCTTAACCTAATAGTTTAGCCTCCTTGGATGCAGAGTCAATATTCCCCTATTTGATAGCTGAGGGAGACAAGATTTAGCTAGGTTTCCACACAGCCAGCAATAGGCAGGGCCAAGATTGAATCTTCATCCAAAGCTGTGCTCTGCATATGCAAAACCATTTCTAAGTGAACAAGAATTGCACTCATCCTTGTTACAGAAGAGGGCCAGCTTATGGCCAGACCCAGAGCTATGGACATCCTGGGCAGATGCATAGTTTAGCAATCCTTAACACTGATGTTGAGGTGAAGCTAAATTCTGTGATGAGTAAGGGTGTAAAAAGAAGGGCAGCCGGTACAAGCACCCCTGCTTGCACATGCCACAGGGGGACAAAAAAAGCCAGCAGTTAAAGGACCACTCTCCTGAGAAGGAGAATGGGAACTCTGAGCATTCCCCAACGCCCAAGCAACTTAGTAAAGTTGACTTTCCAACATCATATAATGAATGCTCTGTCTGGAAGGAATGCTGGTGAGTATTTTTCTCCATTACATTACATTTCCAATGATGTTTTTAGAGCTCTTTATAGATTGATGATCTAGGTATGCCCAGATGACAACTTCCCTGATCCTACACACATACACACACACACACACACACACACACACATACACACAGGTATCTACTCAGTCACACCTCTCCCTTACTTAGGAGGTCTCTCTTTCCTCCAAGCCTTTCCCTGCCTCCTCAGTAATGTCTTCTTTCTTCTCCCATTCCCACCAGCTGCTGCAAATCGTAATGACCCTGTGTTTGAAACACTGCGCACTGGGGTGATCATGGCAAACAAAGAACGGAAGAAAGGACAGGCAGATAAGAAAAATGTGAGCACCATACCTCTTACTGAGTTCCTTTCCAGAGACCCCATGTCTCCTCTCTGGAAAGCCGGAAGAAGCTAGGATCCCTTTCCCCTAAAATTGCACATAACCGAACAGACAGTTTTGCATGTGATTTTACAGGGCCTTGGGTTAAGAACAACTGCCAGAGCATGCGTTTTCTCCAGGAACTCCTTTGTGAAACTGTCAGATTAGTCACTATAACCAACTGAAGGCTAGACCCCAGACCACTGGCATTGCTAGACAAGAGAGGCAAGATTCAGGGAACAGAATTTGCCCAGTAATTCTAGAGTCATACAAGGGTCCATGAAGATCATCTGGTCTGACCCATTTATTCTATAGATGAGGTAACTGAGGCACAAAGCTAGTGGCCTTTTATAATAGGACTAGAGGCCTGGTGCACAGATTCATGCACTGTTGGAGTCCCTCAGCCTGGCCTGTGCCCTCTCGCAATCTGGGACCCCTGGAGGGATGTTGGACTGCAGGTTTCCACATCCCCCGAGGGATGTAGTAGTGCGCAAAGCGGTAGGCAGCTGAGTAGGAGCCTGAGCCCAGGCCAGGCACTGCTCCTGCTCATCCCAGCCCCACTGTGCCTGCTGCCACTCAGTAGCGCTGCAGTGGAGGTGGGACAGCAGCTGCACTTGCCAGCCATAAGCCCAGCATCTGGCGCCTTCGCTCAGTTGAGTGGTACTCCCATTGTGGGAGTGCACTGACCACCAGGGGGCAGCTCCTGCATTGAGCGCCTGCCCCCTGGTGGCTAGTGTGCGTCATAGCGACAGGTCGTTCTGTCGTTCAGTCATTTGTTCACTTAGACTTTTATATATATACTAGTATTTTACCAAAGTCATGATGCCATAGATTGGCATTCAGTTCAGCTAGGGGTTTGTTAGTATAGCCTTATATCTTTCTGGACAACCAGGATGGACTAATGTAGATAACAGTTCTGGTTAGATGGAATGCTAAAATTGACTAAATGACAGTACCCAAAGGACCCTAGTCCTTTAGGGAGTGTCCAGCTACAGGAAGATTTCTGATGGCCCATAACATGATTTATCTTTGGTCCTCACGTATGAACATTTTTCTCACTGGTGCAAATGAAGACACAAATGGTATACCCATCAAGTTTGTGGGAAACAAAGAAGGAAAAACTTATACTGAATAATATATTCAGAAATCTTATAGACTAGAAAAAGGCCCTAATCATTTAAAATTTTGTAAGGAAAAAACAAAAATAAAAAACACAACAACAAATCAACTGCACAAAAACAGAACTAGAGACTTGGCTTCAAAGTAGTTGATATGGAAGTTGGGTACAGATTAGGGATTTCTGTGGAGGGAGCTATGACTGTAAGGCACTAACAATGTGATTTGGCTGCTTCCAGAAAGGCTAGCACACTCGGGTTCTGTTTTCTTATGGGAATTATAAAAGCTATGTTGCCCATTTTTCTCTTATACACCGAAGTATTTTTAAGGACGACATTATAGTAAAGGACATAGAATTGGGATCTTAGGGAATGATTTGAAGGGACTGAGAATAATTAGGGGGGTGGGGGAGGAAAGGCAGGAAGGACATGTGCTGACATGTCCTCAGATCTTTAAAGGGATTATATTGGTTCTATATTCCTTCAGAAGGCAAATCAGGCCAATGACTAATAGTTTCAGGGAGACTGGCATAGGTTTAATATGGGGAAATGTCCTATAAATAAATTGCATGGGCTTATTTTGCAAGGTAGTGAATTCCCTGTCATTAGCTGCATTCAAGCACAATGTGCGGGTGGCCCACCTGCCAGGATGTTTCAGAGAAAGTCTCTGCATTAGGCAGGTGATTGAATAGATATTTTCTCCAACCATTGAATAGATATTTTCTCCAACCATTCGATCCTATTATTCTCTGCCTGACTGGAGAGCCGGGGCAAGCCTGGGTTCCCAAGACAGCATCTTCCTAACTCTGGTGTGTCCTCCAGCCTCTAGCAGCCATGATGGAAGAGGAGCCAGAGTCGGCCAGACCAGAGGGAGGCAAAGCCCAGAATGGTGAGTGCCACCCACCTCCATCCACAGAGATGGAGGAGGTCAGGGGCTCAGCGGTGCCCTGGGGAAAGGACGGTAAAGGATGCACAGGTTTGGAGAGAAAGGAGGCCCCACCACAGAAGGATAAGAGGACGAGGGATACCCTCCAGGAACCAGAGACAACTTGGTGTTTCTCATCCCAGGAAACCCTGAAGGGGATAAGAAGGCTGAAAAGAAGACGCCTGATGACAAAGTGAGACTCCTTTCTCCCTGCAAGGAGCCCAGTCCTTTTCCCAGCCCAGTCTGACACCTCTCTCCACCTCAGCAAGAGCTCACACTGCCCCTCGGGTTCCCGTTACCCTTAACTGGCCTTCTCCACCCCCTTACACACACACTACTAATGCCTTCCTCATAGTTCAGGGACCCGGGAGGTCGTTGGAATGAAGGGTGTCTGGAGAATGCTCCTGCCCCTCCATGTGGGACAGAGGAGTCCTGAGACTCATTTCCCCTTTCACCCTCAGCACAAGCAGCCTGGCTTCCAGCAGTCTCATTACTTTGTGGCTCTCTATCGGTTCAAAGCCCAGGAGAAAGACGACCTGGATTTCCCGTGAGAGGCCTTACGATTGGGGTGGGGGTACACTGGGTGTGGAGAGGGCAGAGCCAGCTCCCTCTGGGGAAGGAAAGGGGAAAGGGATGCTCAGGGCTTGGAGCTTATGGAGGCTGGACCTGGGTATGGGCCAAGGGACTGGATACTAAGGCCCCTAAGTCTCAGAGGCCCCTCCCTTCCCCTGCCAGGCCTGGAGAGAAGATCACAGTCATTGATGACTCCAATGAGGAGTGGTGGCGGGTAAGAGAAATGACTGAGGAGAGGGTGGGGCATGGGTTGAGTTTAAAAGGCTGATTCTCCCCACCATCTCCTCTAGGGGAAAATAGGGGAAAAAGTCGGATTTTTCCCTCCAAACTTCATCATTCGAGTCCGGTCTGGAGAACGTGTTCACCGGGTAACAAGATCCTTCGTGGGGAATCGCGAAATAGGACAGATCACCCTCAAGAAGGACCAGGTTAAAAAATAAAATTTAATTTAAAAAAAGACCAGGTAGCTGTGGTGCCCCAACCCAACCCCAAGGCCGGGAGGCTCCTCTGCAAACCGCACTCCATCAATGAAAGTAGGAAAGGCCTCCCTAACTCCGGGCTCCCCTGCTCTCTCCTCCACAACTGTTTTCCCTTGGTTTCTCTCCTCCCTAATCCTTTAATCCTAGATTGTGGTGCAGAAAGGAGATGAAGCTGGCGGCTACGTCAAGGTCTACACCGGCCGCAAGGTGGGGCTGTTCCCCACCGACTTCCTGGAGGAGATTTAGGCGTGCGGGCCGGCGCCTGCCGGGGAGAGACCCGGGCCGGGATCTGGGCAGGCCCAGTGGGAGCTGGAGAAGAAATGGAGCGAAAGCAACTTCACTGAGCAAGGGGGGCGCGGGAAGGCCCGCCGTAGCGAGACGGGGCTCCTGGGAAGGGACCGGCTCCCGCCCTCCTCCCTCGGCTCTGCCGCCCTCCTCCCTGGCTCTGCCCTCAGACACTGGTGCCTAGAACAGCCTTTGAGAGCTGGGAAAGGAGTGCGTTTCCACTAGGAGGCGCCCTGGGGTGCGGGGGGGGGGGGTTGCGGGGGTTGGGAGGCGAACTGTTGAATGTTGTGAATTCATTAAAGTTTTGACAAAAGTTAGAAAAGTTTGTTCTTTAACTCGGGGCCAAGGAGGGCGAGGGCCTAGGGAGTGGTGGAAAATCCTCCCCAGCGGTCACATTTTGCGGCCATCGGGTAACCTGAGCCCCGCCTGGGCTGAGACAGGGGCGTCCGCTAGGTGAGGCTCTGTGGCCAGTAAAGAACAGAGAGCCGGCCTGGGGTCCCCCCCGCCCCCTCCCCGCGCCGCTGGGGCGGGGAACAGGTCCCTCCAGCTTTTGGCGATTTGGCCGCGGACAGCCCCTTGCGTTTCGAAGCCTGGCTCAGTGCCGAGCTGGGCCGCCAGGGGGCGATGCAAGATCTCGGTTGGAGAGCGAGGCACGGGGGCCGAGGCGGCGGGGAGAGAAGAGAACCAGAGACAAGGAGCCCGAGACCCTGGGCCTGGGAGGGGGTGGGGTGCGTGCCGTCTCCATGGCAACACTTCCTCAAGTCCTCCGGGAGCCGGGCGAGCGAGGCCCGGGGGCTTAACCCCTCCCGCGCGGCCCCCGCCCCGGCCTGACAGGTACCGAGTGAGAGGGCGCCGGGCAGACAGCTACAGGGCTCAGCGGAGAAGCCCCCTGCGGCGCGCCGTATGCAAATGTTTTCATTTGCATATGTAGACATGCAAATAGACCGGCCTTGGTCAGGGTGGCAGGTGGCAGGGAGCGGGAAGGTGCGGGGAAGGGAGCTGAGGAGGAGTGTAGGGACCGGGGAGTGGGCCCGTGAGAGGCAGCCTGGGGTGGTCGCCCGGAGTGGAGCCTGAGGAGGGTCTTGGGCTTGATGGCGGCTGGGGGGAGGGTCAGCGTGGCCAGCCAGGAGATCCTCTTCTCCTGCCCGCTGTCTGCCAGGCCTGAGGTTGGCACCGCCTAGCAAGGTTGGCAGCGGGAGCCCAGGCACCATCTGCTGCTGGCGGGAAAGGGTGGGGGGAGGACAGAGGCTCAGCTGGGCTGGGGAAAAGGAGGGCCCGGGACCGGCGTGCCCCCCCTCCTTCCAGAAGGCTGAGGTGCGGTGGGGGTAGGGAAACACACCAGAGGACTCATTGCAGAGCCGGGTTCTGTCTTCTGTTCCTTTGCTCTGGACTGCACTGGATTCCTTGGCGGGGGGATGCGGGGTCCTAAAGGAAGACTCAGGTGGACCACAGGCCTTCCCCCCACACCCTCACACACAAATCAAGCCTTTGCCCCCATGCCTCCTGGGGCGGGATCTGCCTACCACGAATGGGGGTGGGCGAGGAACAACTAGGACTTGGGTCCTATCTCTTCATCAAGCAGTCTGAGGGACTCAAAACCAGAGCCCCTGAGCTCCTTGAGTGGGGCCCCCCACAATGCTGAAGCAAAACCAATTTACTGGCTCATTGGGCGGCGATGCTGGTGTGGGGGTACTGAGACAGAGAGAGCGGCTGTTCTCTCCCCCCCCTATACACTCGGGGGGCACCCCCCTTCCCCGCCTCGCAGAGCCGGCAGCTGTCCCTAATTAGAACGGCGGTTTAATTGGATTTATCAGCAGTTAATAGGAAATTAAGCAAAGGGCCCGAGAGAGGGAGGGCAGAAGGAGCGGGAAGGCCGGCTGTGCGGAGCTGGAAGGATGGGTGCTGGGGGGCCAGGGCTGGGGACACAGGCCCAGTGTCGTGATTGAGCCCACAGTCATGCCCCGACACCCCAGGACTTGCCCGCCGGTGTAGCCCTGGCCCGCTGGCAAAGAGCAGGTCTTAGGAGAGGGAGTCGGGGACAACAGAGACCCTGTGGGGGCCCCAAAGCCCTCTGCTCCTGCCAGCGGCCACCTGGGTGATGGATAATGCTGCCTTACACTGCAAAGGTCATAAGTCTGGGCCAAGGAGCGACTGAATCCCAAACAGACCAGAGGGGGGCCGTTATGAGGGTCCAAGATACAACCCGCACCCTGCCCTTCCCCAGTGCCCACGACTCATGGCAAAGACAGCGCCCCTTGGCATCAGAAGATCGGGCAGCGCAGGGGGGGGAGGGGAGATGGACTGAGTCTCCCTCCCACCCCCTGCCTCCTGGCTGTGTTGAGGGTCCTGGGAGTCCCTGCACAGCCCAGGTCCCTCTGTGGCTCCTGCTCCTGCTTTTCTCCCCAGCTGCTGGGGTTGGGGCTGGGTTGGCTGAGGCCAGAGTGGCCCAGCGTCTGCAACACCTGCCCTGGGGGCCCAGGGAGAGAGTGTGCAGGCAGGCAGGCAGGGTGCAGGGTCAATAGCCCCAGGCGCCTCCTGTCAGCGGGCCCTCCTGCCATCAGGACCTCATTATAGGCTGGAATAACAAGGCGTTCTAGCCAGGACTCCTCTCCACACACTCCTCCACCCCAGGGCACGGCTCCGCATGTGGGTAGGTGCCAGCCTCTGACCGTGTGGAGGTCTCTGTGCCCTTGGCAATTATGGGTGTCTGTGTCCCTGGTGTGTAGTGTGTGTGTGCGCACATTGGTGTGCGCCCCTGTACCCTGAATACGTATCTGTCTTGTCACCATTCTGCCCCCCCCCCCCCGCGCCCGGTTCCTGTTATTTTTGTCGGTCTGAGCCCCTGGGTGTCTAGGTGTGCGCATGTGCCTTGGCGTGTCTGTGCATTCTCCACACCTGGGTGTGCCCGCGGCAGGCATTTCCGTGGGTCTCTGCCCCCACCCTCGCGGGGACTGTGTCTGGGTGAGAGTCAGGAAGAGCTGCTAGCCAGTGTGTGCTGCTCCGGCATCCACACCTGCAGGTGTGTGCGCGCCGCGGGGGCGTGGGCCTGGGTGTGAGCCGCGCGGCGGCGGCGCGGATGCCAAAGCCGGGGACGCAGGCGCCGTGTGCCTGTGCCGCGCGCCCGCCACCCTCCCACCCCCGCCCCTGCCTCTCCGCTCCCGGGCCGCTCCTCTCCGCCGTCCGCATCATCTCCATCCATTATTGAAGGAACAGCCGCGTCCGCTCCAATCACATCAACAGCCCCCGCCCCCCTCGGTTCCGCTCGCCCGCAGCCCCTCCGGGCGCCGGGGAGGGAGCGCCGAGCGCCGCGGGGGCCCCGGCGGGAGCGCGCTGGTGACCCGGTGCCCCGAGCCGGGCCGGGCGCCGGGACGCCGGGGTCCCCGGCGGCGGAGGGCGCTTTGCATAAACAGATGGCGCGGGCGTCTTTGTCTCGCTCCCTCGCTCCCTCACTGACTCTTCGAGCGGCTCCCGGGTGCTCGGCGGCTCAGCTGATGCAATCATGATCGTCTCCGAGCCTCGGGACCCCGAGCCCTTCAGAGCGGCTGCGGGGGTCAGGGCCTCGGGGCTCCCCGAGCAGATGCTGGGCTCCGTGCCCTCCCTCCCGGGCCCCGCCCCCGCGCCCCGCGGCTGCAGAGGGAAGACGGAGCCCGCGCTGAGGTGGCGGGCATGTGGAGGTGACCGGAAAGGGGACCCCGGTCAGCGCCCCGAGGTGTCCCCGGGCTGTCCCATCGGGCCGCTGCAGCCCCCACCCCTCCGAGCAGCGAGCCAGAGGACAGGACTCCAGCTAGACAACGGGAGGGAGAGACAGAGGAGAGCGACAGAGGCATCTGTAATGAGACACCGCGAGGCAGAGATGGAGAGGGAAGGAGAGACAACAGAGAGACAGAGACGGCTGTAGAGGGACAAAGCCAGGCAGAGAGCTTCCGAGGAGGAGACAGGCAGCCGGGATGGTAGGAACAGAGACACACAGACATAGACAGAGACACCGAGACAGACGGGACCCCGAAGAGAGGAGGACATGCAGGGCTGAGGGCAGACCCTGGACAGGGATGGAGCTCCCCAAACCCCCACCCCCTCACCCCCTCTCTGGGACTGCCCAGCTTCACGAGAGGACTCATCCTGCACCTGGGATGCCCGAGGCTGGGAGGTGGGAGCTTCCGTGTCTCACTCCGCATCCTCCACCCCGCCCACTGTGGAACCCACTGCGGGACCCACTGCCTGGGCCGCGGGGGTGGCAGGAGCGGCGGGCGGGGCGGGAACCGCACTCCAGGAGCCGCCTTACCTGCCCCAAAGCAGTGGGGCGCAGGCCCGTCGCGGCCCGACAGGGGGCGTCCGAGACATCTCCCCTGAGCGCTCCGGAGCAGCTCGGCCTCCAGGGGGCGCCCGCGCCCTCGGCCCCCGAAGTCAGCCTACGGCGCCGAACCCAGCTTCTCCTCACCTGGCGGAGCCGTCTGCACGCGGAGCAGCGTCCAGCGCGATTTAGCGTTTGGAGTCCGGTCGCGGCGGGACCCCGGCCGCCCCTGGCCCCGCCCCATCCACCGCTAATGTCTCTGCGGCCCCTCACCCACTGGGTCAGCCTGGCCCGAATCCAGTGGGTGGGGAAGCGCGGGGCGATGGGGGGAGTTCGGATCTGGAACCAAACAGTTCTGTGTTCGCCCTAGAGGTCCTGATCCAGAGGTAGGAGTGAGTGGGCTTAGAAATAGAGTCACAGCTGAAACCCATTTGGCTCAATGGATAGAGCGTCAGTCTGCAGACTGAAAGGTCCCGGGTTCGATTCCGGTCAAGGACATGTACATTGGTTGTGGGCACATCCCCAGTAGGGGGTGTGCAGGAGGCAGCTGATGGATGATTCTCTCTCATCGATGTTTCCAACTCTCTATCCCTCTCTCTTCCTCTCTGTGAAAAATCAATAAAATGTATTTTTTTAAAAATAGAGTCAAAGAGTAGGTGCCAGAAATTGG